TGCAATAGCGCTTGAATAAATGAACATAGGCATTTTCATTTACTTTGTTTATTTCTATATTTTCTTTGAAATATTGAATAAAGCAAAGGTATATGTATATATTTATATATATATATACATTCATTAGACTTGTCATATTTCTAATACATTATGACTTTTACTTTTGTTCTACGAACAGGGCTATTCCTGGCCAGCATCTTTTTTTACAGTCACTGCAGGAGACCCATACAGAAGAGTATTCCTGTTTTACTCTTATTACTATTTGTAGGAGGTACAGTATAATAACAGAAGTAACCACTGTTTAAATAGTTATTATTAGTTAAGAGTGAAATATAAAAATGTCACCCCTGGATTTAGAGTACTACTACTACATGGGCTCATAGTATATATTTGAAAGAAGTTGGGTTATTTCTCAAAGTTTGCTGCCACATACATTATTAATTACCATTCACAAAGGAATGTAAAAAAGAAACCACCAAAAGCAGCTAAGATACAACAGGTTGCAGATTTAACATGGCTACTGAGTCTTAATGAAACCCCTGCTAAAAATGGGAGTAACTTTCCAGGCATTACAAAATCACAGAAGTACTTTATTAAAGAAAAGGGGAATGATTGCTAAGACAGAGCCCTAATTACCTAGACTATAGACTAGAGCCAGAATTGTTTTGGAGGAAACAAAAATAATACATGTACCTTTTTGAGCTAAAAACTGATGCAAATAAAATAAGTTAATTTCTTTTAAAAAAACAATTATTGAAAAGCTTAAATAAAAACTGAAATACAAATAATTCAATCTCTGTTTGCTTTAGGTTTGTTTTATTTCTGATATACATGACTTTTACATAATTAAAGGGACTTAACTCTATACTGAACAGTATTATGGCATCTTGGAATATCCATCCTCTTAAGCTTATTAACCTAAAAAATCCATTTATTCAATAGTACTTACATGCTGTTAAAGACATTATAAGCAATTTGAATCAAATATTCTTTAAAAAGTGTAGTGATGTAGCTTGCTCTACTGGGTACTTAGTATTTCTGTGGATAGAGCTAGGTAAAAATGGGTACACATTCTACTATTAAATGAATAAGATGAAAATGTTAATTATTTTGTGAAATTTAAGAGCATTTTATATCTTCTCTTACAAACTTAAATCTATTTCTATAATAAACAAGGTGTTGGAAATTTTCTGAACTATTGCATTTTAAAATAAATTCCCGTGAGATTCCCGTGGATGGTAATATTTCAAAGGACAGGGTATTTACAGGAAATTACATATCTTTCAAATCTTCCTATCAAGACCCTAGAGGCATAGTTAGATTTATATTTCCTGTCCCTACAAAAATTAAGTCAGCACACCTGATTTTCAACTTAATTAACTTCAATTTTACTTTCCTCTCTGAGCACTAGCAGTGATAATGATTTACCTAATTGCCAGTAAAGCAATGAAGTCTTCCCAGATTCTGTACTGTTGACTGCTTAATTCTTAAATTTCAATAGGGCCATCCTTAAAAAAATGTTTGTTTGCAGTAACCCGACCCAGAATTTTCCAGGTGGGTAGGTAGGTCGATTTTTTTTTTTTTTATTGAACTGTACTCCCAAATAAACATGGAATTTCAAAATGCTGGACAATATATGCTTTGATAATCTGGTAACAATAAATAAATTGATAACTGAATTCTAATTTAATAAGACCTACATTTTATTTCTTCTATTAACCTTTAAAAGAACGAAAACAAAGCACAAGGCATAATTTTCTGATTCAAAAAAAATAATTTTTTATCCAGACCATGAAAAAAATTTTTGAGTAGGGGCAAATTTTGTGAGTCGGTCGCGTTACTGCAAACAAACATTTTTTAAAGGATGGCCTAGAGGACAGTTCCAGATTTTAAAAGATAGTGTATAACACAAATTATGGTGAATACATCAAAAAGAAGAATAAAAAGCATAAAATTAATTTCCAAATGCAATCCTCAATATCAAACAATTCCATTATGAGAAAGGTTTATTATTTGGTAATATTTTAAAGCTATGGTATAAACAAATCAGCTACCCCTATCAAATAACAATACATTAACATGAATTAAAGCCTCCAGGTAAGTGATGTTTGATCAGATACAGGACTGCTAAGCATTACGAAAATGTTTCACTGACGATATCTAAGAGTTAATCAATAAAAAAGCACAAACGCTTGCAGCAAATCAATAAAATATGATGAAGATGGCCATGAAATCCCTACAGTGTCCTTAGTTATATTATCATTTCATATTTTCCTTGACAATTATTAACATGAAGTACTGTCTATGTGTAGTTACAGTGTAGACTAAACCATCATATTGATGAACTTATTTCAGGACTAGAGACAAATGGATTTTACTGTTGTACATGTAACTGCCCAAAATATTACAATCTATATATACATTAGATATTTTACATAAAGCTACAATATATGATAATACAGTAACAACCTGGCACTAATTTATTTCTAGTCATCCAAAATAAGACTACCTGTAACCCTGTAGTTTGTATTCAAGCCAAATTTTTATTATGCAATGATATATGAAGTGAAAGGCTTATGAAAATAACTAATTCTATAGTCCCAAACACCAGTGACAACCTTCTAAATGGCAGACTTACGTTCTATCTCTTAATTTAATTAATACCTTTTGTTCATATATTTCAGGTCAATCAATGAGTAATGATGACATTAATAATGTCTTCACTAGAAGGTGGTCAGATTTCTGATTGTAAATCAATATAATACATCTTATATATGAATAACTCAATGACTTAACAGGTATTTTATTTGATCATTTTCTCATAATACAGTATTATACTAAAAGGTTTATCACAAGTAGACAAAAATGCTTAAGCCTTTTTACTGAATACATCCAAGGTTTTTTTCTTTAAAATTTAAAGAGGACAAGGCCTTCCTGACAAGAATTATTTTTATTGAGACAGTGAAGTTTGCATGTACACATATAAATTTGCATTTCTGCTTTATATATGTATGTACTAATCTTAGTAATACAGTTCCAAATTATAACTTTTCATGAAACTGAAAGAAAAATAGCAATGTTTCACTTTCTGACAACATCATCAAAGATTGCCATATGTAGACAAACTAGTAATAAAACTAATTCTTTCAAACTCTTTAAATTATAGAATAAAGCAGGTGCTGTCAGTAAGACAACATGATTGGCTTTTCTCAGTGCTTCACAGTAAGAGAAGTGTTAATAATCTATAAAAACATAACTCAGAGATATGTGACCTGCAGTCAACAAATTTAAGATTTTTAATTTACTACTGGTCGGGGACCAACAATCGGACACTTTTTAAACATTTTTCCATACAGTTTTTAGAATTTATAAGCTAGGGAACTAAAACTTTTACACAGTACAGCTAGGTTCTTCTCCGAACTAACGGACTAGTTTGTTTATTTCTGATTATGTTGACACTTATATCTGAGGCCTGTGAATAAGGGTATCAAAATTACCTGAATTGTCCACACTACAGTACCATGTGTCCGGACAGATATGTCCATGATGCTGATTTAATTCAATAAAACTTTTGGTGTTTTAATTTTTTTATTTTTAACATAATATATTGAAATAAATTTAATTACTTAATTATAGAACAAACATGCAGTTATTGTTGATATAAATGCGACTGATCGATCTACAACCACTGAACAAATAAAAAAGGCATTTTCGGGGCCGTCCAGGTTTGGTGGTTGTCCGGTTTTGGTGGTCTCCAACCAGTAGCCCGAATTCCAGTCTTGAATTTATTCTACTATATTTAACTATTTTTCTTAAAATTTTCACTGGCCCGAACTAATTTTCACTGGCCATGGGCCACCGGGCCAGTGCTAAATTTGATGACTGGAACTGTGTCCATAATGTTAGATAATCAGAGAGAACAAGTGAGTGACTTAGTTTCAACTTTGATTCCCTTCATAGTAGATTTGGAGATACCAACTCCAATCAACTAATTTTCTTGCATACAACATTTCTATATGTTTCCTTTTTTATGGTTAAATATGTTTTATTGATGTTTACCATTAAATAAATTTGTGATGTCCATTAAATTAATTTGTGATGTTACAATGTTATTATAATGAAATATATCCACAGGTGACTTTGATAATTACCCTTTGGAAGCTTTTTTGAACAGCAAGTTTGATACATAATATTTCTGATAATTTAAACTTCATGCTAATGAAATTCAGCAGATACCTAAGATTTACTTTGAAGATTAAAAAAGTCAAATTGTTTTTCTTTCTTCGCAACACATCTCACAAGGCAATTGGCTAAACAGAATTGAAGTTGAATCTTCGACACTCCTCGATAATTTAACAAAATTTGTTGATTTTGTATCATTCAACATTATGTGTGCAAATTTATAGTAAATACATGTACTTGTGTCTCAGCAACAAACATGCACATTTTTGAAATTAATATTGGGACATAGTTTCTGCAGAAATTTCCAATAATAATGATATTCTTCCTTGTTGGCTACTGTAAAAATAAACGTTATTATAATTTGAGAAATTTTGACCGTGTAATTATTAAGCAAAATGCATTTTCTTTAAGTATTCCACCTCAAAGCATGTAATAAATATCAAATATTCGTAAAATAATATCCCTTTAACATTGTTTTTTCTCAAATTCAATGGTTTAAAACCTCTTTACATATGATGATTATAAATGCAGCTTGGTGAAAGTTGACATTACACTGGGTCTACTAACTTGTAAGTCAAATTGTTCCTATATAAGAGACAATATCACCAGCGTTATAACAGGGCAATTCCTAAGCAGGGAGATTAACAACTAGTAATTTATTGAACCAACATCACTATAGACTTATATCTAGTCGCAAACAAAAAAATGAAAATCTAAAGCTTAGCAGTGTGGTGACTGATGAGTGATGGAGAAAATGCATAAAAATCCATTTAGACATTATAATAAACAATTAATTTAAACCCTTATAACTGGTTTACCTATCATAGGTTCATCATCACTTTCATCAGTTTGCATGGGCTCTGATTCTGCAAATCTAACACCTCTGCCTTTTTCATTTTGATCATCACTCTTCTTGTCATTTAGTTTGTTGAAATATTCAGCTGCAAACTTCACCAAATCTGGTGGCCTCTCTTTCAATACTGCAACTGTAAAATCTTGAAGGAGATCAGTTAATCCGTCTGGAATTTCGAAGCTCATTTTATTATCCAATGCAATGCAATTCCGAGCTTAAACTACAGTCATGTATTTTAATACATGTAAAGTTCCAGTTGACAAATAAATATTGGTTACAGACCAACCTAACAGTCGTGCACTTCTCACGATTGACGTCAACGCACGATTATATTCTTCCGCGGTTATCAATAGTGTACTTTGTAAGAAATCCACAATTGGCCAAACAACTCGTCTTTGATAACCAAGTTGACAAAAGTCTTTACTAAAGATTTATTTTTGCTGTTACTGTAAGAGGAGAGAATGTTTAGAAATACAATTATACCCTACTGTTAAAAACTACTTTTCGAAAATTTCATGTCGTCTGAAATGCAGTCTTGCGCTATGTTTAGATAAAAAGTGCGGTTAAGGACAGAATACACTATTTTTCTTCATGAAAATTCATATAGTAGGTCTAGTTCAGGCCAAGATGAACTTCTTTGGCCGTTTTGGTGATTGTGTTCCTTCTTGATATTGCTCTTCCACATAATTTCATGAAAAATACAATTTTTTGTTAATAGCTGATTTGTTGTTGTTTATGCGTTTATTTATACTGGCCGCCGGACGAACCCATGGCAAGTGTTTGAATTAAATTAAAAAAACAAAACAATAAAACATTTTTTTGTTTCATATATGTAAAAAAGATACTTTTGAAAAATAGTGTCATGACATCTGATTTCATAATTATGATAATTTATGACAGCCTGTAATTTTATGTTGTTTGAAAAAAGTTTAGCTGTACATGTAATTGCATTAGGAATGTCTTACAAATATTAGAAAGAATACAGGTCCTACATGTAGCTTATTACCCTGAGGAACTCTACTTGTTACAGTTTGCCATCCTGAATAAGTTCCGATTATCCGGTGTTTAAAGTGGTGGCTTTTATCCATTTATAATTTTGCCTCTTTTACCTAAGCTACAGACCTTAGCTAGTAGTTGTTTTTTCTTCCAAAATGATTTGCATTTAGAAGATGGACCGTCGGCGACATTTATGTTTACAAATAACAATTTAATGCTTGGAGTTGTTGAGTAAGTATTTTTCTCAAAATATCAAGTAAAAGTCAACCTAAATTAAATAGATTTATAGATATAAAAGTAACCAGTACATTATTTATATAGTTGTAGAAATCGAAAGTGCAAAATGTATACATAAACTGGAACTTGTATATAATTGTACAGTTGGCATTTTTAAATTCATTATGAATTTCAGACATATTTTCATTGTTTTTTTGTAAGTATCATTGGACAAATGACGTTTTTAGAATCTAAAAATCGTTACATTCAATCAAATTTGAGCTCTACAAACCTCTCAAAAGGGTTTTTATCCCGAAACCAAGTGCCTTCTGTCGCTAAGGTATAAAACTATTAAACAAAAGAATTATAAGAAAAAAATCACCTAATTCAAATATTATTTTATGAAGCTTTTAACAATTAAAACTTACGTGTCAGACTGGATTGTTATGTGTTTACATTCTGCAAACCCCACCAATGCTAGTTTGAAATGACGTCATTTGGCGCCTTTATGAGTGTGTTGCATACTTAGGATGACGTCTTGTCTGTGATATGCAGGCTTCATAACCTCAGATCCCCTTTCAAAATTCCATTTTATTTAGTTCCGCCCATTGTTTTCTCGTTTAGGGCACACGCATTCTTTTACTTGGGGACCATACGACGCTTTTCGTGGAATGACAATACTGTGTCACATTGAAGGTTCCATGATAACCGCCGTATGAACACATCTGCGGATGTTTCTTAATTCAAAATTTCACCATTTTTATGTTGTTTAAATGTTGAATTCTGCTTCTAGGGGGCGTGGACGGTAACTTGCACTTTCCAGTACCGTCTATGAACAGGCTCAATCAAACCGAGCCTGCAACATTTAACAATTTTGCCGTGTTGGGCTTTCTTTAGGGATTCTGTTTTTATCTATTTACCCTGCTAACGAATTGGCGCCGATCTTTTCTATATAAATTTTATCAACTGATATGGATAAACCTCGTGGTGTTTGTGTATGTGAGATGTTTTTTAGCATCATATGAAAGGAAAACATAACAAGAAAAGAATATGTCAATGAAAATGCATTATTACTGCTGCAAGGCTTTGTAAACTATCTCATCGGAGGGAGGGAATGGTCTTATAAAACAATAAATGTGTTTGCCATAAGAAAATTAATAACAGTGACTGAGTCAGCCACTATGGTAATATAAGTGATGATGTCACAATAAAGTTGAAAATAACATAAATATATAAGGCCAATTGGCACGATGAAAAAGCAACGGCCGCTGTGGTGTAGTGGTTAGCATACTGGACCGGCAATACCGAGACCCGTGGTTCGAGTCCCGGCTGCGGCGTGCCGATTTTTCTATGTATTATTTCTCGCTCATGTCTTTCTTTCTTTCTTTCACACACACATATATATATAGATATATATATGTTTTCCCTAACCAATTTTATTGCCGTTTTTTGCCCTTGTATGTAGTGACAAAATCACGAGGAGTGTTAGAATTTTTATTATATATTAAAGTTTCAAGTTATAAGGTAACAGTTAATTGCCTTTTATGATATATATTCAGGTTGTTCTTTTTTGCCAATTTTATATAGTGACCTATATTGGGTCATGTTCCAGATGGCAAACGGTATACTTTCCAAATTTCAAGCAGAAAATTCCCAATTTAAGGAACAAATAATAAAATAAGTAAAATAATTATCATTTTGGACATTTAACTACACTGTGCATAGACAATTATAATATTGTTTTCTAATTGTAATATGTGCTTATAAGTGAAATATAAAATGAGTTTAATTGGATTTCTTTGTCTTATTTGATGATTATAATATGTTGTCAATTTTCCCATTTTATCTAAAACATACAAAACATTCCACATTCTAGCTGTCGGGCCATGTTCCCAAAATGCTAATATTTAACAGTTTAAAGATGCACGTACGCCTCCAGATGAGCCAAAATATTTTAAGAAATAAAATCTTTAGAAAAATGTATTAAGATCTTAAGAAAAGTAAAAAGATTCAATACTTAATTAATTATTCACATGCTATGTGCGATTTATGACTGATTTTGCAGTATCAATCACTATAATTCTACTGCGTTACTAATGCAGTAAGAGGTATTTATGTATATTTTGACCTCTTTTTGGTAATTTATGTGGATTGTAAGTGCCGTTTGCAATGTTTGAATTATATATTCTTTGATCTTTTCACAGTATTTTACTTTCAAATACATTTTCAAAAATTATGAACATTAGCATAAATTTGGAGGCATGCTGCTTTAAATGTTAAAAATATACTTAAAATTAATTGGAGTATATTTTAAAAAATACTAGAAATAAAGAAAGTAAGCAAATGAAAGCTACATTTATTGAAATATTTACTCTAGAAATATTGACCACCCATATAAAACACCTTCCACAGTTAGCAACTAAAATTTGTTTCTCTTCAAAGTATATTTAGTGGTGTTCAACACATAACGGTAATGTTTTATCCGACCGGAAGGATATTTGTAATGTGACACCGTTAAAGAATATGGCGGCCAATGCGAAGTTTTAGAAATAAGTTATATGTTTCATGTAATTGCAAAGGTATTAATAGCTTACGTTACATTTTTTATCGCCAAATATAATACAAAACATACTTTTCTATCATTTGCTTTTGAAGTGCAAGTCATTCTCTCCTTCGATATTCTTCATTCTTGAAAAATATTCAGAAGCGTTATCTTCTTTGTTTTCGTGAGAATCGATTTTTTTCATCGATTTTATTTAAACGAAATGCAGGGTTTTTTTCTCCAGGTCTCAGGTATTTGCATATGTTGAATACGATATACGTATTTACATGTTATGTGTGTATGAAAGAAGCTGATATTTTACTTCGTTAAATTATACATCTTCACTGTTGAACAAGATAATAAATTTGATTAGATTTCATAACATGCACATAGAACTTAGAAGGGATAAGGGACAACTGGACACCAAGTCAAATAGAAAATATTTTTTTCAATATGATAGGTGGTACCTGTGATGCGGAAAGCACTTATGTTTTAATAACATGAAGCACATTTTCAATACAAATGCATGTACATTTTTTTTATTATTTAAATATGAAAGAATTGGTGGTGTTCAACCTATCATCAAAATGTCTGAATATCTCACCATTGTATTCTCAGTAGTGATGGAAATCGGATGAAATTTGTCCCAATCGATCATCGGTTCAATCGGATGGGACATAATCGATAACTTTCCGATTAAAGTCGCGTTAAAAAGAAATAGGGAAGAAAAATTTTTTCCCAAGGAACTTGATTTTATTTTGTAACATGAACTTTATTTAGCACTTTTCAACACAGTTTAAACCCTACTTAGCTATTATTTTACGAAATAGATTTAATTTTCCAATGGATGTCAAATAATAACATTCACATCACATAATATATTACTATTGTTTACATCACGTATTGATCCTATTCAACTCAAAATTGTCTCTGAGATAATTTTTTTGCGATCGGCAAGGTGTTCCTAAAAGAAAATTACCGCCAGAATTAATTTGTTTTGATACTTTAAACATTTTCGACGACGTCGCGGAACAATTATTTGTGAATCGATTATTGTCGTTTTACACAACAGTAACTGATTATCAGCGACTTGCGACAATCGGAACATCACTAATTCTCAGCCATTTTAACCAGGTTTTCCGAAGGAAAAATCTGGTTATTAGATTGAGATATGTTGGCGGGTGTGAGGGCGTAAACAATTTCTTCTGTGCGCCACTCCTTCTACAATTCTCAACGGATTTTGACCAAACTTTCACAGAAGCTTTGTCATCAAGTGCCATAACGCATATTATCAGGGTTTTGTGATTGGATAATATTTGACCTAATTATGGCCTTTTGTTTTTTTTTTCCTTATATAGAATATATAGTGAACAATTTCTTTCGTGTGCAACTCCTACATTTCTCAACGGATTTTGACCAAACTTTCTTAGAAGCTTTGTTATCAAGTGCCCTGCCACATATTGTCGGGGTTTTGTGATTAGATAATATTTGACCTAATTATGAACCTTTGTTTTTTTCCTTGAGGTTTTCCAAAGGAAAAAACTGGTTTTTAGATTGAGGTATGTTGGCGGACGGGTGGGTGGGCGTAAACAATTTCTTCTGTGCGCAACTCCTTCTACAATTCTCAATCGATTTTGACCAAACTTTCACAGAAGCTTTGTCATCAAGTGCCCTAGCGCATATTGTCAGGGTTTTGCGATTGGATAATATTTGACCTAATTATGGCCCTTTGTTTTTTTTTCCATATATAGAATATATAGTGAACAATTTCTTCTGTACTGAACTCCTCCTACATTTGTCTCTGGATTTTGACCAAACTCTCACAGAAGCTTTGTCATCAAGTGCCCTGGCGCATATTATCAGGGTTTTGTGATTGGATAATATTTGACCTAATTATGACCCTTTGTTTTTTTCCATATATAGAATATATAGTGAACAATTTCTTTCGTGTGCAACTCCTCCTACATTTCTCAACAGATTTTGACCAAATTTTCTTAGATGCTTTGTTATCAAGTGCTTCCACATATCAGGCTTCGAGGAAGTTGCCGGACCGTCGGACATGTCCGACAAAAATCAGGCCGGTCCGATATTTTTTTCCGAGTTCCGGACCTTATGTCTGGTAAGAATACCGGGATATATCCAAGACCAATCAAGACCGAGTTTTGTCCCTTGAATAAAAAAATGTAAAACGAGTTTTGATTCGCCGTTTCATTTTTAGTGTCCAATCAAATTCTAGATACAACTTTCGATGATCTTGTACTCGGAAGAAAATGTCGGTGTTACTGCATTATTAAATTATTACGTTGGGGCTAGGCCAGGCAAAAGACGTTAATTATCTAATGAAGGCAAAAAGCGAAACAAAAGAAATACGAGTCCAGGCGCCTGCCGAGAAAATTTGTGGGTAAATGGAAAAATGGCCGCTTGTTGGTTATTAACGAGGAAGAAAATAAGATGAAATGTACATTGTGTTATAAATTTTATAAAGATCATAATATTATGATGATGATGATTTTGATCATGAATGTTTAAATTTCCAGACAGAGTCCATCAATCTGGATAAACTGATGTTTTATTTAAGAGAATAAAATTGTGTTGCAAATCTTTAAAAGTTCCTATGTCTTGAAAAAAACACAAAGGTATTAGATATATACATATATTTGGGAAAAAAAATCGGTCAGACAAAAGTTCTTTCGGTCAGACAAGAGTTGAAAGTTTGTCTGACCGAATGTCAGGCAAATGTTTCAGCAGTTTCGCGAAGCCTGACATATTGTCAGGGTTTTGTGATTGGATAATATTTGAACTAATTATGACCCTTCGTTTTTTTTTCCTTGTACAGAATATATACATGTAGTGAACAATTTCTACTGTGCGCAACTTCTCCTACATTTCTCAACGGATTTTGACCAAACTTTCACAGAAGCTTTGTTATCAAGTGCCCTGGCGCATATTGTCAGGGTTTTTGTGATTGGATTATATTTGACCTACTTATGGCCCTTTGTTTTTTTTTCCTTATACAGAATTATCTATATATAGTGAAAAAATTCTTCTGGCTGAACTTGTCCTACATTTCTCAACGGATTTTGTTCAAACTTTCACAGAAGCTTTGTAATCAAGTGCCCTGGCGCATATTGTCGGGGTTTTGTGATTGGATAATTTTTGACCTAATTATGGCCCTTTGTTTTTTTTCCTTATACAGAATATATAGTGAACACTTCTTCTGTGGCAATTCCTCCTACATTATTCATGTTTTACATTGCACATAGTTACATTGTTTGTTGCTTGTATTTGTATTTCAAATACAACATATTTATCTACAATGGTAATAATTGAAAACCTGGTTTCGTGGCATTGCCATGTTTCTTGTTGTTATCTGTAATCAGAATTTTTGTTTTTACCCTGAAATGTGATGATGATTCATAATCAAAATTGCTGTCTGGTTTAATATAGACTGCTGTAACCTCAATCACGATCTCTTATTTCTACTAACATTGGTTGACCACATAAACATAATTGTCATCAAAGATGGTGGATTTAAGACATAAATTGCTGCCATAAACACATATCCAATTGCACCTCAACCGTTCCTAGAGTGTCACACAATTTGATGAACAAACCACAACTACTCTTGTGTGACCTTTTACTTTCAGCCTCTTTATGTTATTATATTGGCGCTTAGGACAGATTATTTTAACATGAATAATTTTCTAAAGGCACACACATTGGCAAAGGTCTGAAATTATAATGAGTATTCAATTAATTTAGAACTATACATTGGAATCAAATATAAAATTTTTCACCATAAGTACTCTATTGGTTTCTTAAATTTGCTATAGATTATTAAGAAAAATGCCTGCAAAGAGAAAGAGAGGGAATACAGAAAGTAAATCTGAGGATCCAGAACGTTCACCAACACCAACTTCTGTCTCCTCCTGCAAGAAAAGGAAAAAAGAACTTCAATATGACCCTGTAAGTCAACAGATTGATTTCAGTTTATTATAATCCCATTATTTGCCTAAGTAGTATATGTTAACATGTATTGTATATGAATCATTTCGTAACCTCGGTTTTTTATAAGACCTTTTGTTATACTTATAATGTACCCATTGCAGCTACTTGCTTAAAAGAGAAAAGCAGTATTAATAATAATATGACTTTCTAAAACATTTATACAAAATTCAGGCAACCGTTTATTTACAGAATTCAGTCAACTGTTTATTTTAGAGATAAAGTTGTATACCATGTTGATGTTGTTGTTCTTCTTAAAAACTAACATATTTTGTTAAATACTAATGATTAGAAGTTATGACATTCCCTTAATTATAAAAAAAAAGAGTTTGATTTTGATATATATATATTTTTTTTTCTACAAACTGATTACGAGTTCTATGAAATATTATAACTATCCAGGTAAAAGAATTTTTATATGCTTATTTGAAAGAAATATGTATTTTGGGATCACCCTTACTTAGATTGGCTGATGGTTTCCAGAGCATATTTTCTACATAATACCACCATGATTGAGCAATAGTGTTTAGCCTATTATGCAGCTGTCAATGTCAAAGGTCAAGGTCACACTTAGAGCTGAGAAGGAAAAACTTGTCCATAGCAAAATTTCTACATTACACATTTTGGGATTTTGATATATTTTAGCACAAATGTTCAACATTGTAAGGCACAGTGTTGTGTGTAAAATTCATACTCTGTGGCCAAAGTTGAGACCACATCACTGAGTGTGACAGTGTCAGTGATACTCTTGTCTTATTTTGAGTCCACAATTTTTGCAGTGTCTATTCTAGGAGGGGCGATGGGGGGATTCACCCATATTTTTGAGAATTCACCCCTATTTTTTGAGAGGGAGGGGGAAAATTTTACATAGACAAAGAAGGAAAAAGATCAACAAATGTAATAATCTCTCACTATTCGATAAAAATCCCCCCTATTTTTCGAATCCTAGAATAAACACTGTTTTTGCCCTGGTACTGTTTAAGAAGTAATTTAAATATACCACAAAATGATGTAAAATTAGGAGCTTAGAATAAACTTAAGATTCAATACCTTACTTGCTTTTTAGTATTTCTGTATGCAATGTCCAGTTTCTTTTACAGATTTAACCATGCCTGGATTATTTTGTTGTGACACCAGTTTTACAGATGTAAAATCTTTTACTTGATTTCAGGATTGTCAGCCGAGCACTTCAACAGATATTGACTTTGTAAGAGCCTAGAATCATGCATATATGTTTAGCTTTGGATATATATTTTTAGTTATTATGTTGTTGATGCATGTTTTTTTCCAGCATGAGGTATTCCCTGTTAAGGTTTGGTTTTGTATTGTAAATAAGAGTGTCAGGGCCAGAAATATAAGAAAATATATTTTTATAAGTTATTATATTAAAGGGTATAAAGCTTTGTCTCATGAAAAGTTTTGTAAACATTTAAAAACAGTAAAATTACATTGTTTTCATAACCTTATGATAATTTCTTGAAAAAGTTGTAACAAAATGTCTCTGTTACTTAACACACATAAATGTTGTAAAACATTCTGAAACAAAATATTCCCTTTCTACTACCACTTAGTGATTATTTGGCCCATCTTTTATTTTATTCTGTAGTTATTTCCATCATGATATAAACAATCTTTTTGCAATCCAAAGATCACAAATGTATAGCTGTATACACTTTAATAAGAATGATGTGTACTATAGCTGGTAATCAGTTTTTCCTTTTTTCATGAGCAATAATTCAGTATTTCAAATGAAAAATACATTATTTTGAATCAACACAGTTTTTTGACCATCTTTTTGTTACAGAATGTTAAAAATAATTTAATATTATCCACTTAAAACATGTTTAGAATGTTGTAAGCTAGTCCAAATTAGAGGTTTATAATATCTTTGTAGAATTTGAATATAATAATTGAGTTTGTAAAAAAGACAGAAATTTTCAATTTTCTCAAAAGAACAGTAATATTGAGGTAGCAGCATGGTGTATCTTTATATAATATATAACATATTATGGTAAGGGTAATCTTCAGCTCGCCTGTCACAAAGTGACATGGTGAGCTTTTGTGATTGCTTTTTGTCCGGCAGTCCGTAAACTTTTACTTTAAACAACATCTCCTCATAAACAGCTAAGCCAATTTCATCCAAACTTAACAGGAATGTTCCTTTGGTAGTCAACTTAAAAAATTGTTCAAAGAATTTAATTCCATGCAGAACTCTGGTTGCCATGGCAACCGAAAGAAAAAACTGAAAAAATCTAGAGCTTAAATATTTGGCATAAAACATTGTCTAGTCAGTGTCTACCAAGTTAAGCCCTTTGGTCAAAATTGGCCCTGGGGGGGGGGGTCATTGATTTTCCTTATTTGTATATAGTAAAAACTTAGTAAAAACCTCAAATAGCTAGAGCTTAAATATAAGGCATGAAACATCTTCTAGTGGGTGTATACCAAGTTTGTTCAAATAAAGCCCTTGGGTCAAAATTGGCCCCACCCCTGGGAGGGTCATTGATTTTCCATATTTGTATGTAGTAAAAACTAAAAAAATCTTCTTTTAAAAAAACCCAAATAGCTAGAGCTTAAATATTAAGCATGATACATCTTCTTATGGGTGTATACCAAGTTTGTTCAAATAAAAGCCCTGGGGTCAAAATTGGCCCCGCTCCAGGGGGTCATTGTTTTTCCCTTTACAGTGTATGTATATAGTAAAAACTTAGAAAATCTTCATTTATAAAACCCCAAAGAGCTAGAGCTTAGATATTTATCATGAAACATCTTCTAATGGGTGGCTACCAAGTTTGTTCAAATAAAAGCCCTTTGGTTAAAATTGGCCCCACCCCAGGGGCCTATATACAGGTGAGCATTTTCAAGGCCATCATGGCCCTCTTATTCATATATGTAGGGTTCATTTTTGGTTCCTTTTTTGGAAAGGTTAATTTTGTTTTGGTCCAGCACTTGCAACTACAGTAATCATAACACATTAACTGACCAGTAATTTGAAGTTAAAAACACACAACCTTTTTGACCTTGTTACCTCCCTACAAAAAGATTTTATATTGAAATCATGTCATTTCACTAACATTTTGGTGGTCATTCTTTTGTGAAACCTCATTAACTTGCATTGTTGCCTTTGATTATTACTTTAAACAAAGTACATATCTTTGAGTATTACCTAAAATAATTTGTTTGTATTAACATGCATATATAATTTAGATAGAGACCTGTTTTAATGTCTCCAAACTAATATAATTATATATTGAATCATTTGATACTTATGTCCAAGAATCATAGACATTTATATTGTGAAGCATTTCAGAATGTGCAAATGGTATTTCTTTACAAAGCTTGCAAAGTTTATTTCTTTTTATATTTATTAAAATGTAATAGCCTCAATCAATATGTTATTTTCAGTATACATATCACATTAAGTCTGGTTCTACTGACCCTCCTTTTAATATTGAATCTATACCAGAATTACATTATTATAGAAAGTAGAAACTACATGTTTTATGGAAATATGTATTATTCTATTGTACTGGCCCTGGCATGACCATCACACCTCAGGTAAGTTTTTGCATGCAAATAAGTATTTCCAAAACTTCCAGAGGGAATGGGTTAAAACTTCACACAATTATTTGAGAGCAAAAAAGGAAATCACTGTCCAAGGTCAATAACTCTAAAGTGTATTTTAACAGAATTATGGCCCATTTTGAACTTAGAATATTCTACATTATCCAGGCTCTAGTTTTACTATCAAGCACTGAGAAAGTTGAGCATGCTGTCCTACTGACAGGTCTTGTTTTTTTAACAGCTTTACAATAGAACATTGGAAACAGTTGGTTTTTTTTATGGAAAATGACAATTTAAGGTAGCAATTTTTTTTTGAAAGATTATATAATTTTAAGACTCCAGAAGAATTGCTTTTTCTCCAAGTTTGCACAAACATAATGAAAAGAGATTATGTTATAATTTCAGGGACAGGCTTCCACATCACAAACAGATGATGTTGATATTGTAAGAACCCTCACATCACTTGTTGTCATACATGATTATTTAATTGTAAAAACCAGGAAGGTCTACACCTGTCATATATTTATATATATACAGAAATTGACAGCTACTTATTTACACTTTTTTGGGTTAAAATTAAATTTAAAAATTTTATTAAAATTGTTTTGGGAAAACCGGGGTTAAGTTTGGTTTTTGTTTAAAAGTTTCATTTATTTATTTGAATCTTCAAAAAACATTATTTTTGGGAAAACCAACCCACTTCAGTAAAGGAACCAAGGGGAATTTCACAATTTAGGTCACTTTTTTCCATCAAGACCCCAGGGGGGATGACAACTTTTGCTCACTTTTTAGTTTTGATCCATGGATCAAATTTCATTTGTCACTGTTCAGTTCAAGATCCTTTGGATCAAAATTTCATTGGGCCCTTTTTCAGTTAAAGATCCAGGGGATCAAAAATTTTGGGGCCCCCTATTCACCCCCAAATCCAGGGGATTCAATCTTTGGGTGGCTGTTTGGGTCTGATCCATGGATCGCAATCTTTGGTCATTTTCAGTCAAGATCCATGGGATCACAATCATTGGGCCCTGTTCAGTCAAGATCCATGGTTTTATAATCATTGGTCACTGTTTAATCTAAATCCATGGGATCATAATCATTTGTCACTTTTCAGTCAAGATCAATCAGATCACAATCATTGGGCCCTGTTCAGTCAAGATCCATGGGATTACAAGCATTGGTCGCTGTTTAGTCTAGATCCATGGGATCACAATCATTGGTCGCTGTTTAGTCAAGATCCATGGGATCATAATCATTTGTCACTGTTCAGTCAAGATACATGGGATCACAATCATTTGTCACTGTTCAGTCAAGTTCAGTCACTGTTCAGTCAAGATCCATGGATCATAATGATTGGTCACTGTTTAGTCTAGATCCATGGGATCACACTCATTGGTCACTGTTAAGTCAACATCCATGGGATCACAATCATTTGTCACTGTTGAGTCAAGATCAATGGGATCACAATCATTGGTCGCTGTTTAGTCGAGATCCTTGATAAGTCATGGATTTTACCCCTTTGTACCCTTGGTATATAAAGTTTTTGGTTGGACATATTTTCATGGTTAAAACTGTAGGTTATTAATAAAGACCAAAAACTCTAGAATGAGTATTTCCCTGCTGTGTACTTTGTGACCTTTGTTTCACTTTAGCATTGAGAATTGATGGCTACCCTGTCCATCTGACAGCCTTTGTTGAGGATGGCTTTGAAAAAAGTCTCATTATAATAAAAGACTATCATTAGTTGTATAAGTTAACAGACAAAATCCAGCCCCCCCCCCCCCCACCCTTTGTGAGTGTTGTCTTTTCTGTCAAATATATGGTTTATACTTATGGGATGAGGTGGGAAGAAGTTTGTTGTCACCCCAGTCATATTAAGAAGGCAAAATTTATGTCCAAAAAATATATATTTGTTCATTTTTCAATCATATAAGTATTCTTTATAAACATTTTTGGACAGTAATTTGAAATGTTTAAAAAGTAAAATGGGAAACATGAAATAATAACTAATTAGAATTTAAATAAATAGGAAATTAAGTGATTGTATATGGATGAAAGGAATAATTATGTATATGAAAGTATTTTCCTGGTTTTTACTGATGGTTGTTTCTTAGTTTATTTTACTTTAAGCAATCCCTTCCTAAGTTTTTTGTTTTACATTTTCTTATGCACAAATTTTGTTGAGTTGAGTTTATTTATTGATTTTATTTATTTGGCATAATTTTATGACACATTCATTTTGCTTATACCATTATGATTCATAAAAAATAATGTAACTATAAGGATTAAAAGAAATTTGTCAAATTATTTAGAAAGGAATTGCTGCTATAATTGTGTTTAGATATAACTCTGATGATGTGTATACAGTATACTTGTTTATGTAAAATCTCTTCTATCTGGGGGTGTATTATTTATTCTCTCCTTCACACCAAACAAGTTTCATTATGTTTTTAAACACATACAATTGAAATTGAAATGGCAAAGCATTGATTTAGTGTTTTAATATGAATCATAGATACATAAAAAAATTGCCTACCCAGGTTCATCAGATTTTACAATGTTTGTGCATGTACTGTTACATACATTAAACATAAAATAGTAAATATAATAAAGTCTGCAGCGTTCACTATGACTGGCTCTGTTCAAATTTTACTATTTTTTTCTTCATATAAAAATAGGGTATTAAAGGCATTCTAATAGCTCCTACTGATAGCCAGGTGTTTTTTTCTTGTAGATGGCTGTAAGTTTGGCTTTCTATATCCAGCCTTCAGGCGTCCGTGATTAAGGTGGTTTGACTTCAAACAACTTGCCTCTCACTTTGGATTCTTTCATGTGATGAAGCTCTAACCAGTTAGCTAATGTTGGTGGTTGGCCTCAGGTGCCCACTCAAACAATGTACTGAGGGAGGGTAACTGGGAGTTTTCCTCCACCGAAAGCTGGAAAGTTCCATTACTTTTCACTAATTTTGGGGTTGTGATGACAAACAACCCAATAAATAAAAAAAATATTGTTCCAGCCCTTCTGACTTGACCGCAAACAGCCTCAAAACATAACTTAATTTTGACCCTACTAGTAACACAACGAGCAATTACCTTTTTTATACCGCCGTTTAAAAAAAGGGGGAATTTATATGGAAACGCCCCGGGGCGGACCGGCGGGGCGCGTCCAATTTTTGTCCGGAAGCATATCTCCTAACATGTATGGAGTTTTTTAATAAACTTTCATAGAAAGTCCGACCACTATGAGGGAGCAGTGCGCGCACATGAACCAGGTCTCTAGGTCAAAGGGTCAAGTCACACTTAGAGCTCATTATGAAAAATGCTTGCCCGGAGCAAATTTCCACATGCTATAGAGGATTTCAATATTACTTGGCACAAATGTTCACCATTGTGAAGCGGACCCGAGTGTCGCGCGCAAGATTCAGGTCCTTGCGGCCAAGTTTCAAGGTCACACATAGAGGTCAAAGTTCACATTAAAAATTATTGAAAGATGTGTATTATGGACCATTTAATCATCATTTATTGAGCGGAATTGTTAACACCAAATGGTTCATTATCAAGACTATGGGCTGCTGATACATATAATTTAGGTCAATATATACAAGGTCAAGGTCACTTAAAGTTGATGAATATCCAGAATTTTGTCCGGAGCATAATCTCCTACAACGCATGGGAGGGATTTTAATGAAAATTTCATAGAAATGTTCACCATTATGAGAAGGGCCATTGTCATGCACATGAACTGGGTCTCTAGTCAAAGTCAAGGTCACAGTTAGAGCTCAATTGCAAAAAACGCTTGTCCGGAGCAAAAATTCCACATGCATAGAGGATTCAATATAAACTTGGCACAAAGTTCACCATTGTGAGGCGAGTGCGTGCCACAAAATTCAGGTCCCTGCAGCCCAAGGTCAAGGTCACACATAGAGGTTCAAAGTTTAGAGTTAAAAAATATGAAGATGTGTATCGGGACGATTTAATCATCATTTAAATTGAGGGATTGTAAACACAAATTGGTCATTATCATGACTACCGGCTGTGACACATGTACTTAAGGTCCAGTGATTTTTTTTGCAATTTTCAAAACAACCTGTGGCTTTCTGAAGGGAAAATATAGCGCGATAAATCAGAAAAGGGGGGAATCAAATACCAACAACTGAGAATGTAATTTACCCCAACATTTATAAAATTTTAATTTCATTTCACTTTCACTGCATGGTTACATAGCAGAGGATATCTTAAGAACAGCTTTATCTTCTAGCTGATATTAGTCAGATGCTTTAAGTCATGGTGAAGAATGTTGCACGGGCATTTTAGCGGAAAAAATATTAAAGCATTTTTAGGGGAAAATATATCTATTTGTGGCTAGGAAAACAGCCCTTTATTCGGCTGTAGAATACACGAAAAAAAAATCACTGAGGTCAAATATATGCAAGGTCAAGGTCACTAAAAGATGGTGAAATATCCCAGATTTTTGTCTAGAGCATATTTCCTACATGTTATGGAAGAAATTTTTATTAATACTTTATGGAAATGTTCACCCACCATGATATGTATTGCTCCATGCATGGATCCAGGTCCAAAGGTCAAGGTCACACTTAGAGCTCACTTGAAAAAACGACTTGTCCGGAGCAAAACTTCTACATTCATAGAGGATTTCAATATAAACTTGGCACAAAATGTTCACCATTGTGAGGCTGAGTGTCGCACGCAAAATTCAGATCCCTGCGACCAAAGTCAAGGTTACACATAGAGGTCAAAGTTCAGATAAAAATTTGAAGATGTGTATAGGGACCATTTAATCATCATTTATTGATGGATTTGTAGCACAAATGGTAACTTATCATGGCTACAGGTGTGACACATTTAATTTAGGTTAATATTTGCAAGGTCAAGGTCACTGGAGATGATTAAATATCCAGATGTTGTCCGGAGCATATTTTCTACATGCATGGAGGAATTTTAATGTTACTTTATAGAATTGGTTCACCACCATGAGACGTAGTGCCCTGCACATGAACCAAGTCTCTAGGTCAAAGGTGAAGGTCACAGTTAGAGCTCATAGAAAAACGCTTGTTGGAGCAAAACTTCTTACATGCATAGAGGATTTCAATATAATTTGGCACAAATGTTCATCATTGTGAGGCCGAGTGCCGTGCATAAAATTCAGGTCCCTGCGACCAAGGTCAAGGTCACACATCCTGTGCATATCTTCCCTACTGATTTGTTTTAAGGTTCATTTAACAACACAGTGCCAAGAATAAAAACTTGCTTGCTAGGTAACACTTATCCATAATGCCCCCATCTCCATCTAAAGCTTTCGTAAACGGGCGTATTTTGTGACTATGGCACCCTTTTTTCAAGATGTTTTTCTTTATTGTGTATTATGTTTTTGTCTTATCAAACATTTATTGAACATCATTTGCAGTAATTGTTTGATTGATTATCTATTCTGTTCATATCATTATATTTGTAGACTTGTAGACATTCCAACTAAAATCTATATTCTATATTTCAGTTGTAGTTTACATTTATATTAATAGTTTGTGGTTTCTTTTGTTTTCAGCATGCTTGTACAATGTATTCCTTCCATCTAATTTATAGTGTTTTCCCTGGTTCACACATTTATTCCGTTGATTTTGCTTCTGTTTTTAGCTTGGTTACAATATTTATTTTTTCAGAAATTCTACATAGGCCTACTGTGTATTATAATTATTAAATTAATGCAACCAGTTATATACAAAACTTTCTGCATTGATATACATGGTCCAAGGTTATATAAAAAAAATTCCAAGCTCAGACTCAGATCTCAGTTATTTGATTGGTCAGAAACCACCAATGACAGACAAACAGATCTCAGTAAATTGATTGGTTAGAAACCGGCACTTAATATCCAGTGACCAATGACAGGTCTCAGAAAAAAAGTTAAATAACCATGAGGACCAGGACTCAGTTGTTTCTTGAATACAGACAGACTGTTTAGCTCTTACTCTGAAATGCAAGACTACTTTCAGATAATTTGAGAAGATTAAAGAAAAGGAAAAACCATAGGAAAGCCCCCCCCCCCCCCTCTCAATTTTTAGCTCACCTGTCACAAAGTGACAGGGTGAGCTTTTGTGATCGCTTTTCGTCCGGCGTCCGTCCGTCCGTCGTCCGTCCGTCGTCCGTAAACTTTTACTTTAAATGACATCTCCTCATAAACCACTAAGCCAATTTCATCCAAACTTCACAGGAATGTTCCTTTGGTGGTCACCTTTAAAAATTGTTCAAAGAATTTAATTCCACATGCAGAACTCTGGTTTGCCATGGCAACCGAAAGAAAAAACTTTTAAATATTCTTTCTTTTAAAAAACCCTAAGAGCTAGAGCTTAGATATTTGGCATGGAACACATCTTCTAGTGAGTGTCTACCAAGTTTGTTCAAAAATAAATCCTTGGGGTCAAAATTGGCCCCGCCCCAGGGGTCATTGATTTTCCCTATATGCATATAGTAAAAACTTAAAAATTCTTCTTTTAAAGAACCCGAAGAAGCTAGAGCTAAGATATTCAGCATGAAACATCTTCTAATGAGTGTGTACCAAGTTTGTTCAAATAAAAGCCCTGGGGTCAAAATTGGCCCCGCCCAGGGGGTCATTGATTTTCCCTATATGCATATAGTAAAAACTTACAAAATCTTCTTTGCAAGAACTCAAAAAAGCTAGAGCTAAGATATTTCAGCATGAAACATGTTCTAATGGGTGTCTACCAAGTTTGTTCAAATAAAAGCCCTGGGGTCAAAATTGGCTCCGCCCCAGGGGGTCATTGATTTTCCCTATATGCATACAGTAAAAACTTTAAAAATCTTCTTTTAAAGAACTCAAAGAGCTAGAGCTAAGATATTTAGCATCAAACATGTTCTAATAGGTGCCTACCAAGTTTGTTGAAATAAAAGCCCTGGGGTCAAAATTGGCCCTGCCCCGAGGGTCATTGATTTTCCTTATATGTGTATAGCAAAAACTTAAAAAAATCTTCTTTGAAAAAACCCAAATAGCTAGAGTTTAGATATTAAGCATAAAACATCTTCTAGTAAGTGTCTACAAAGTTTGTTGAAATAAAAGCCCTGGGGTCAAAATTGACCCCGCCCCGGGGGTCATTGATTTTCCTTATATGTGTATAGCAAAAACTTAAACTCTTCTTGAAAAAGCCCAAATAGCTAGAGTTTAGATATTAAGCAAGAAACATCTTCTAGTGAGTGTCTACAAAGTTTGTTCAAATAAAAGCCCTGGGGTCAAAACTGGCCCCGCCCCAGGGGTGTCAGTGTTTTTAACTTTATGTGTATAGCAAAAACTTAAAAAAATCTTCTTTTACAAAGCCCAATGAGCTAGAGCTTAGATGTCTAGCATGGAACATCTTCTTATGGGTGTCTACCAAGTTTGTTCAAATAAAAGCCCTGGGGTCAAAATTGGCCCCGCCCCAGGGGGTCATTGATTTTCCCTATATGCATATAGTAAAAACTTAAAAAATCTTCTTTTAAAGAACTCAAAGAGCTAGAGCTAAGATATTTAGCATCAATCATGTTCTAATAGGTGTCTACCAAGTTTGTTCAAATAAAAGCCCTGGGGTCAAAATTGGCCCCGCCCCGGGGGTCATTGATTTTCCTTATATGTGTATAGCAAAAACTTAAAAGATCTTCTTTGAAAAAACCCAAATAGCTAGAGTTTAGATATTAAGCATGAAACATCTTCTAGTAAGTGTCTACAAAGTTTGTTGAAATAAAAGCCCTGGGGTCAAAATTGGCCCCGTCCCGGGGGTCATTGATTTTCCTTATATGTGTATAGCAAAAACTTAAAATCTTCTTTGAAAAAACCCAAATAGCTAGAGTTTAGATCTTAAGCATGGAACATCTTCTAGTAAGTGTCTACAAAGTTTGTTCAAATAAAAGCCCTTGGGTCAAAACTGGCCCCGCCCCAGGGGTGTCATTGTTTTTAACTTTATGTGTATAGTAAAAACTTAAAAAAATTTTCTTTTAAAAAGCCCAATGAGCTAGAGCTAAGATGTTTAGCATGAAACATCTTCTTATGGGGGGGGGGGGGGGGGGCTATATACAGGTGAGCGACCTTAGGGCCATCATGGCCCTCTTGTTAGTTGTGTTGACACTTTTGTTGTCATTAAGGCATGTTATACAGCATACAGTTGTAGTGGTGTAACAATATTGTCTGCTCAAAGAATATTTTGTATCTCTATAGTTACTCTAATTCTCTAGTTGATGTGGATATTATGCATGAAATATAGGGTTTTAAAACACATATCAGATTTGTTTTTTATCTGATGATAAGTTTGGGTATGGTTGAATTTATTATGTAATTAAGGATCTAGAACTGCTAATAATAAAAGGTTAAGAAACTTGAATCATAAAAAGGCATTTGGTTTTTTGTGCGGCTTCTTTATAAGCTATGGCAATTTCACTTTTTCAGGTTATAATTTGTTACAATATTTGTTTAATAAATGGCAGTATTAATGATAAATTTTAGATAAAAAGCAACCATGACTTATCCAGAAATATCATTGACTGACAATATAGAATTATGTTAAACATAAAGTTATTGCTACTTATTGTTGAAATGTGATATAATTTCAGGCTGAGATTATTCAGGAGTTGTTTGAGACTATCAGGAACTACAAATCTGAAGAAGGGAAACTACTCTGTGAATCTTTTATCAGAATACCAAAACGAAGGTAAATTTTCATTTTAGATAAATAATGAAGAAAATAAGATTCACTAGTTTTTAGAAAATCAATTTATATGAACTTTGTTATTGTGAGGTTTTGTAAAATTATCTCATTTGATTTCGTCTTGTGATAAAAAAAAGTCCACCTCCTCTAGGAGGACATCTCTTATTTTAAAAGCCTGACTTATTTATGCAGGTTTATCTCTTACCCTGCTCAATCTTTACAATGGACTTGACTTGTTTATCATATAAACTGTCCATGGTAAAGAGATTTCAGTATAAAAATATTAATGTGCAGCTAATAGTATAGGGCCTTTCAGACTGTGTTTGTTCAGACTGGTTTGTACTCTGAAGGTTAAACTTAATGTTATAGATGGACTTTGTTCTAACCAAAAGAATATTTCATATCCCTCATAAAGACTTGTGAGAGTCAAACTTAGTTATCATCATTGAATAAACCAAAAGTTATATCTCAGTAAGTTGAGTTTTCTGACAGTTGTTAATATAAACTTTATTATTAGGACAAACCCTGATTATTATGAGGTGGTTACACAACCCATGGACATGCTGAAAATACAACAGAAAATGAAGATGGATGAGTATGAGGAGATAGAACAACTGACAGCTGATGTTGAACTCATGGTGAACAATGCTAGAGCTTATTATAAGGTACATTTGCCATATAAACAAGACTATCTTTTTAGTTTACTATGTATTGTATGTTTATTTATTTGAAAATATTTCTTATTATAATTATTCTTATTATAAGTATAGAGAAGTACTGTATTTGTATGTAATGTTATCTCTTCTTCCTGTGGGTTTGAATACTGCTTGGGAATTTAAAGATGTCCAGTTATTTCATTGTAAGTGGAATTTCTAAACAGATGCCAGCCAATTTGTGTTTGAAATAATGAGGAGTTGTAGTTGTTGTTTTCCTCCACTAGTGAAGATAGAAAGTAGTCTTATGACATAAATACTATTAATGTGACACAAGGCCCAATACTAGTAGATATTTATTATGTTCTAGACTCATAATTGAAGGTTGTTATACTAAGATACCAGAAAGAACCTTATCCTGCCAAATACACTTGGTATATCTGCTGATATTATTTATATTTCAAGTGCAGACATTACATAACCAAAATGTGCAGTTAATTCTATGAAGGTTTTGATGTTGATTTATTTCTGAAAATGGTATTTTTGGACATGTTCAAGTTTTTCTTTAATATTGAAGAGCTTATTTGCCTTTTTCTTGTATGCCATATAATGAAGTATTTCTTACATTTTAAAGGGATTGTTTACCTTCTTGTATGCCATATATCTAACATTGGTTATACATATTTTACAGAAAGGATCACAGGAGTATATAGATGCTACAGATTTGTTAGATCTATATTATGAGATACGTGATGAGTTACTAGTGGAAACATTTGGAGATAACAAAAGTATCATGGATGATGATGATGAAGATGAACCGGATGATAACAATGTCTCTCTTGAACAGCTACAGGTAATTTTAATGCTAGTTTATGACTTTACTACTGAAAGAAAATAAACGAAAAACATTTAAACAAAAAAACAGAACCAATCATAAAATAAACAAACATAGACTACTGTGCTGCTAATATAATTCAAACTTTTTAAAATTTGATTAATGAAATTCAAAGACATGCTATTTAACCTTCCTTTGCTTTCAGAGTTTAAAAAGTTGTTTTTTAATGAGATATTTTAGTATGATTTCATTGAAATAATATCTATGGTACTATAAAGTTGTTATTCACATGTCAAAAGTCTGTTTTGAAAGTGTACCCTTCACCTAGTATAATCAACATTTTGCATGCCTTTTTGTGATCCAGATAGAAACACACATTTAAACTAAGGATAATGAAAAAAGTATTGATTATTCTATACAAATGTTATTTCAAATGATATAGAAAGTAGAATCAAACTGATATTTGGAATTGTAATATATTTCAGTCAAAGATAGCGAACATTGTACAACAAGAAGGTGCCAAGATGAAGGGATTACCTCCTCCAGATGTTGATGATGAAAATGCTTGTGATCCGGAGGACCTGGAGGCACTATTTGCAGCTGTTGTAAATGCCCAGGATGGGGAACGTACCATCAGTGAACCTTTCCATCTCCTCCCATATAAAACAGTTAGTACTTATCTTATTGCTTTACAAGGAATAATCATTTGACAAGGAATTATTAGTTGTTTCTATCCTTAATCTTCTGGGGACAACAGAAAAAATTGTTTACTTCCAGGATAATGAAGGGGCACTGAATTGATTTGCAGGCACTGTAAAAGTTAATATTTGTGAATTTTCTTGATTATAAATTGAGGTGTTTGAAGATTAAAATTATGATTCATAAGGTAGGAACTAGAAAAAATATAAAAAATGACAAGAGTTAAACATTACTTTATTACATACTCATACATTTATAGCTGTTAATGAGGCGGAAAAAAAACACGAGTAAAATTACTGATGTGTTGTTTTCAAGTATTAACTTTATATTTTTCAGCTGTACCCCAACTACTATGATGTTATAAAGGAGCCAATTGATTTAAAGATGATTGCTAAGAAGATTCAGGACAATGAATACAGAAGTTTTGATGAGATGGACAGAGATATAGGACTGATGGTTCACAATGCCAAAACATTTAATGAACCTAAATCACTTATATATAAGGTATACCACGGAATAAAATAAATTTGATGACTAGATTATTGCTATTGTTAATTCATATATGTTTGAAATGTTATTGGATATCTTTAAAATAGTTGAGGTTCTGCTGGCAGCTGCGAGTTTTTCCACATGATATATCAAATGTGGGAGCCGTTTTCTGTCAATTGAAATCTCTTTAAAAATGAAGACCAAAATCTGTTGGTAAACTGTCACTACTTGGCTTTTGTTGCATTAGATAAACTGTACAGTGGCAGTAAGACCTTTATATAGTGAGTTTCCCGAAACCTAGCAAATTAAAACAAAAGTAATATACTAAGAAGTGCTGAAATAGTGAATGTCAATTTCTTCCTCAAATACGAGTATAAAGTCCATGCAGAATCTGTTCTTTATTCATAGTATGTTTTCTTAAAAATATTTCTGATAGAAGTTTTTATTAAACATGTTTTGTTTTACTAGGATGCCTGTACACTGAAGAAAGTATTTGACTTAAAGAAGAAAGAGGTTGAGCATAGGAAATCTAATGCTAAATCCACAGAGAGACACAGGTATGATATACATAATTGTGAGAAGGTATCACTTGAAATACATCAGTGTAATTTACAAAATTTTTTCTTTTTGGAAAAACCTTTTTTTTCTAAAATTGTTATTAAACATCTTTGTGGCCCCTTTTTTTAAATTTAAGGGCTTGTAAAGGGCCCGAAATGCATACCTTTAAAAACCTTGGGAAGGGGTTTCCCAAAATAACATACATTTTAAAATCTAAAACTCATTTGGAAAAACTTAATCCAGGTCTAGTTTAATGTCAGGGGTTAAGGGGGGAAAATTTTTATTAAAAAGTTTTAAAAATACAATTCATATATTTTAAATAAAATGGTTTTGAGGGGGTTTGCTTTTTAAAATTTTTAAATATTGCTTTTAATGCTTTAAAAACTTTTTAAAAAAAAAGGGAAAAAATTTTGTGGGTTTAAATTTTTTTTTTAATTTTTGGGTTTTTGGGGTTTTTTTCTTTTTTAAATTCCCTTTTTCTTAGCACGTTAGACTTTTTGGAAAAAAGGGCCAAATTTTTCATTTTAAAAAGTACTTTCAGAAAAGCCTATAAAAACCCGTTATTCAGGAAAAAAAAACCCTGTTATAATTTAAATTATCAAAAGCCTTTTTTAAAGGGTTTAGAAAAATTCCCAAAAAAAAATTTTTAAAAAGGAAAAAAAAAACTAAGAAGAAAAAGAGGTATCCAATGTTGCTTTTCTTTCCAGTTTTATGAACAAATATGAGAGTAACACATTTAAAAAGTTTACCCTAAAAAAGTTAATACATGTAAATTGTATAAAAGTTTTCTGTTTAAGAAGCAAACACTTTTGATTGAACTTAGACAATATTTTAGTTAAACTGGTAAACTTTTAAAATGAACTCCCATTGTTAATTTGGCAAAATGTTTGGTTTGTTTGGTTCAAATTACCATTTATTTAGTTTTATTATGTTTGTTTGTTTTTATGTTATGTACAAATAAATGCCATTTAAGCTCATGTAATCAGACAAGTTTTGTGCTTGTTAATGATGTTATTACCATATTTTTCTATGAATGAATTGTACATGCTTAGGACTACGATATTTTGCCACTATCATCTATAAATGAAGTTGTAATTTTATGCTCTGCTGTATATAAATAGGAAAAAAGTGCTAAAAGATATATTAGATTTTGCAATTTCTTTCTTTATGGAAGAAAAAGAATAGACCACTGCCTGTTATTATAGACAGGAATTGATGGCAAATCATCATAGCCTTGTTACAGCTGTATACCTTACAATGAGCCAGATCTTTTGGTCTGTACTGGCAGCCAATATAAAATTATTATAAGCTAATATAAAATGTAATTTTATCATGCAAATGTTCTTTTAAATAATTTGAAGTGATTATAAATTTTAATGTTTTGAACTTAATCATTAATAATTTGTATAACTTAATCCTTCAGGAAAATCAAACCAATGTCATATAAGTGTCCAGTAAGAATTTTTCCAAACCTGTATTTTTTACAGCCAGAAATAAAGGCTGTTTCCCCTAGTCGAAAATAGGTATATTTTCCCCTGAAAATGCTAATATTTTCCCCTAAAATGCCCTGCACACATTCTTCACGAGAGCAGCAAGAAGACAGAAAGCTCTCCCTATAGATAGCCTCTGCTGGAATTGAAACTGAAATTTGAAAAATTTTATAAAATTTCATTCAATTTTTTTTTTTTTGTATTGAATTAAAATTTTTCCCCTTTCTAATTTAACGCGCGTATTTTTTCCCCTTTCAGAAAGCCACTTTGGGTTTTGGGGGAAATTGACATTTTATTAGGAACATTCAAGTAAAAATGTACGGTCATATACCAAGAAAAGAGATCTTTTTTCCAGGACTCGTGGCCACTACCAAATGTTCAGAAACCCACCAGCACAGTTTGGCTTGCCCTGGAGTATCCTGAAACCAATTGAATCCGACAGTATATAATGGAGTACGAAGGAGGATTCTGGGTTGCTGAGACGCAGTGATGTTCTCATGAGGAAGCGAGAACCCATGTGGCATCTGTTTTAATGTGGTCAAAAACTATACTTACAACCAGACGGCTTGAAAATTCATTGAATCCGTACATGAAAACTTCCTAGGCAAGAGGGGTTTGTCCTTAATTGAGGCCTAAATGTTCTCTGTCTTTGGTATTGGGTGCAATTTTGGAATTTGAGATTTTTATTTGCACGTTTTATTTATTAAATTTATTTTACTGAAAGGTATTTCTCGTAAGTCCACTCTACATGACTTCAGAATCATAACTCAACTGACCAAGACTTGTAAACTTTTCAAGCATAGAGTTTTTACTAAAATATACTCTTATGGAATAAAGAAAGTATGATATTATTGTTGTTTAATTTTTACTATTAAGAGGGCACAACTGTTTTTTACTTATAGGTATCATTGAAAATGTTTTTTTTCATTAAGAGATATATTTTATAACCAAGAGTTATTTATAACAAAACTATCAATTTGGATTTTAATATTAATTGAAGTAATTGGTTGTTTACTTTTTTCTGAAGGGAGTTACAAGCAATACCCCCGGTTTTTCAATTAATTTTTAATCAACCCCTGAGTCACTGTAAATATTTGTCTATACAAAGTCCATCAGTTATCAATTTATGTGATGATGATGACTTTAATAATAATGATAATGATTTATATTTTCAGATACTATCCTGATTACTATGAAGAGATTAAGAAACCACTTTCTATTATAAATGTTCAGAAAAAACTGAAGGTAAATGGTTATTTGCTTATCCTACTGCAACAATATTACATAAATTTGCTACACAGTTGCTATAACCACTTCCATGTTTTGCAATGAGTAAGTGCTATCTTTTCACTTGAATCAGTGTTATAAGTGGTAGAGATATTGTCTTTCACCATATCATTAAGGAAAACAGTACAGGGTTGTGTTTTAAACTCACTAACTCATGGTTACAAGACCTTATCAGTAATGCTTTACTTAAGGAGGGAATATGAAAGATAACATAATATCCATTCCCTTGCTTATAACTTAGCTCTACTGAAAGTTAGATTGTTTGCCCCACAATTTGAAATAAATAGTGACAGATTAATGGGATGAAAAATTGTCATGTCTGCAAATGTTGAGATTATTTTTACAAAATTGAAAACAAATCTCTTCACAAAGGTGAACTCTGGATGTAGAAAAGAAAAAAGAAATGTAATATTTTATCAAATTTAGTAATGCAATGTTAAACACTTTAACACATTTTTTTGTATATTTTAAAAACTGTACTATATTTATATATTATTATAAACTAGAATTTGTTGTATTACAGACTGGTGGTTATGCTGGGTTAGATGATTTGTATGCTGATCTTAATCTAGTGTTTGAGAATGCTAAAAGATACAATGCTGATGAGTCTATTATATTTAAGGTAAATGATATACACAGGTTTATCATATAGAATGTTAGAACCAATTTTTCACTCTTTGAAAATGGTGTTTTTAGTTGTTTACATGAGGATTATAATCTATTTGATGCATTATGATAGGAACTTACATATTTCAATAATTTTAAAACTGTTAATGTTATGTATGTTAACTCGGATATGTCCATCTTTCGATCTGTACATTTTTAAGGATTTTTTTTTAGCTCGACTATTCAATAAGAATAAGTAGAGCTATTGTAGTCACCGAGCGTCGGCGTCGGCGTTGGTGTCCGCCGTCGGCGTAACCACTTATGTTAAAGTTTTTGTAATAGTTCAAATATTTTCAAAGTCCATTGACATATGGCTTTGAAACTTTGCACACTTGTTCACCATCATGACCCCAACCTGTAGACAGGAGGAGGTAACTGTATCAAGCATTTTGACAGAATTATGCCCCTTTTTCGACTTAGAATTTACGTTAAAGTTTTTGTAATAGTTCAAATATTTTTCAAAGTCCATTGACATATGGCTTTGAAACTTTGCACACTTGTTCACCATCATGACCCCAACCGGTAGACAGGAGGAGGTAACTGTATCAAGAATTTTGACAGAATTATGCCCCTTTTTCGACTTAGAATTTACGTTAAAGTTTTTGTAATGTTCAAATATTTTCAAAGTCCATTGACATATGGCTTTGAAACTTTGCACACTTGTTCACCATCATGACCCCAACCTGTAAACAGGAGGAGGTAACTGTATCAAGCATTTTGACAGAATTATGCCCCTTTTTCGACTTAGAATTTACGTTAAAGTTTTTGTAATAGTTCAAATATTTTCAAAGTCCATTGACATATGGCTTTGAAACTTTGCACACTTGTTCACCATCATTACCCAACCTGTAAACAGGAGGGAGGTAATTGTATCAAGCATTTTTTTTTACTATCAAGCACTAAGAATAGTCGAGCGTTGCTGTCCTACCGACAGCTCTTGTTTAAATATATACTGATGTAATAGCACTAGTGCTGGTCTGCACTGGTCACATGGGCAGAATCAATTGTGATGAACTGGCAAAAGGGGTTTATAATTAGTATCCCTGAAAGGGAATATGGGGGTTTTTTCTTAAACTAAAGCAAAAAACAACAAATTGTACGAATAGGGGTTTAAAAAGGGGGCTTGTTAGGCCCGATGTCACAAATTTTAAAAATTTTTTTAAATTAAACTGCTGTCATATTTATTTTTAAGGTTTTTATTGAATTTAAAAAAGCTTAAATTGGGAAAAACTATTTTAAAGCGTTCTTGAACCAAAAAGGGACTAAAAAATAAATGGTTTAAAATTTTTGGCCCCAAAAGGAAAAAAACTGGGTTGGGGCCCGGAGTTTTTAACCCACATGGGGCCCAAAAAAAACCTTGGGGTTTTTAAATTTAAAACATTAACCACTCAGCCATGCTGCCTCTTATGATGTCATGCTGTAAGCGGTGGGAGAATTTTGACCTGTTAATACTGAAGTAGTAATTATATAACTGTATCATGAGATATTTTCCCTTCCCAGAATTCTTGCTTGCTACAGAAGGTGATGAGAGAGAAAAAGAAAGAATTGGAAAAGTTTGGATATAAGGTAAGTTATATCATAACTTTATTATTTTCATGATGTACTTTGACAAGCTTTTTTTCTCTCCACCTCTAGTATATCATGAAGATACTAACTTGATATGGTTTTCATGGGTTTTTTGTTTGGTTTCATGTTAAACAATAAGACTGTGATGGGCTTTATACTAGTCTGTATGCTGGGTTTTCATGGATTGTTGATAGGGGACAAATATTTTTTTATCAAATAGACTTGAAACCCTTGTGCTAGGTGTATGGTGGTAGGAGGCTTGTGCCTACTGTATAAACTACATGTTAGTCACTGGTAGAGATGAGTCATGTAGTTTCACTTCTTAGTAAAAGTTGTGTTAATAAAAGCTTCTTATACATGCTCTACTTAATGAGTGCTTTACATTAGATATAAATGTAGTTTGCTTTATTTATAAGCAAGTGTTTTTTAAAAAAATGCATTAAGTTAATTTCAAAAAGTAATGCAGCTTCTTTAATTAGCAATGCTGATAATGATAATTGTAGAATTTTTATACAGCTTTCAATTATCATAGACTAAGGTAATGGACTCATGATGATGTTTGGCTATCTTTTTTAAGAGTTGATAGTAACATTCTTTTGATCACAGAAGCTATATAATTGATCATTAGTATAATAGAATATAATCTATTATAAATCGATTTTCAACATAGTTGTGAATAGTTAAATACATCAACTGTTTTTCGTAAAATGTTAAGGTAGTTTATGGTATTTTTTTTCTGCAGATTATCAGGAAATAAGTTAGGATATCAGTCAAATCATAAACCATTTTGCTTGTATGTCTAGTTTATTCCTAAATACATATACTCATACCATATTGTCAGTTGTTTAAACAGATTTTAAAATTGTTAAAGAGTCCAGTTTAAATGAAGCTCTGTGTATTTTGAATTGTATAATAAAAAAAAACTGTACGTAACATTTGATTTGACTGAAAGTTTTGTTTCTGTTTTATGGGTCCAATACCTTTTAAGTTTAAATAAGATCACCTCTGTAGAAACATTTTTCACCTAAGTATATTTAACAAATAGTAAGTTTATAGCTGGTTATAAAGTTTGAATGTAGCACAGTGTAGTGTGTATTGGTGTTTAAATGTTAAGGTTTGATGTTTTGTGGCATATTACTGAGATTGTGTATGATTTCTTTATGATTGTGTCTCAACAACATGAATGATGTCAGTAAAGTAATGATGTATATTTTAATTGTTGTGTTTAAAGAAAAAGTGGTTATGCTGATTATTAAATTGATAAATTTAGTTGTGTGAGCGTACAATCATGAATGTAATGCAAAAAAAGGTAAAGGAAATAAGGGAAAAAAAACAAAAAACAAATATCAATATTTGAATTACTTGTATATTATGATACTGTTATGTCAGGGTCATATCTTGTTTTATTTAGATATTATTAGTCCCCTACCGGTTTACCGGAGGGGACTTTAGGTTTACCCTCCGTCCGTCTGTCCGTCTGTCCGTCCGTCAGTCCGTCCGTCCACAAAACTGGATCCCGCGATAACGCAAAAAGTACTGAAAATATTTTAATGAAACTTGATATATGGATAGCTGGCAGTATGGAGATTATGCACGTCTTTTTCTTTTCTTCCTAAGTTGAAAATTCTGGTTGCTATGGCAACAAATAGACTGAAAATATGGCAAATTTTACACATAATCTGGATCCCGCGATTACGCAAAAAGTACTGAAAATATTTTAATGAAACTTGATATATGGATAGCTGGCAGTATGGAGATTATGCACGTCTTTTTCTTTTCTTCCTAAGTTGAAAATTCTGGTTGCTATGGCAACAAATAGACTGAAAATATGGCAAATTTTACACATAATCTGGATCCCGCGATTACGCAAAAAGTACTGAAAATATTTTTATGAAACTTGATATATGGATAGATGGCAGTATGGAGATTATGCACGTCTTTTTCTTTTCTTCCTATGTTGAAAATTCTGGTTGCTATGGCAACAAATAGACTGAAAAATATGGCAAATTTTACAAATAACCTGGATCCAGTGATAACACAAAAAGTACTGAAAATATATGTTTATGAAACTTGACATATGGGTAGATGGCAGTATGGAAATTATGCACATCCTTTCCTTATCTTCCTATGTTGAAAATTCTGGTTGCTATGGCAACAAATAGACTGAATTTCAAGATTTCTGATTCTAGTTTTTAAGTTTTTTTCACTATAAGTTCTTTATTTCTTAAAGTATTTTCTTTCAAACTTTAAATATAAGTTGCTTGTCATCAACCACATCATATGTGACAAGGTTTACAACTCTAGCACAAAATTTATCAGAATTACCTCCCTTGAACTTAAAATTTTCATGAAAAAAACATTGTTTTTTTTAATAACTTCTTTTTCTGAATGTATCTACTTCAAACTTCATATAAATGTTTCTTATTATCACTCAACATTTGTGAGTGTTCAATACTCTAGCAAGACTATTTCCAGAATTATGCCCCTTTTGAACTTAAACTTTTTTTTGAGAAATTGGTAATTTTTACTCCAACTTCTTCAATCATGATAGGATTTTAAAAATGTTATATTTTGATAACAGGGATGTTTAAAAAATAACTTTAGAGTGTCCTTCAGTCTGTCTGTCTGAACATAAAAACTGTTTCCTGTGATCACTTTTAAAGAACTTTTTCAAGAAATTAGGAACCTAAGTGAATGGCCAATGGCCCTTCAAAATGTTGCTTGGGCTCTTACCGGTAGGGGACTTATGGATTGCTTGCAATACTATGATAATTGCTTGTTAAAGTTTGTTTTATACCTTTAGGTGCATATGTTAACAAGAATTGCCACTTGTAGCGAAGTTTAGTTTTAACAATTAAGAATTTATAAGTTTACATTTTGTGTATGCTGCTTGTATAAAAAGTATAATTATTAAGTTTTATAAAATATTCATACTGTAATAAATCCTCTATAGGAAATGTCCATACCGGAATTAGGCATCCATTTTGAATTTCCTATGTTGGTGAGTAGAAGAAAGGGAGATAAATCTTATTTTTACCGCTTCTTGATGTGTTTTTAGTTGCTTTTTTGTAATAAAAACTGTTGATTATTTTCTCACCTTATTATTTTTGGACTCTGTAACGATCCACAGTGGCATTGTACTTTTTAGTTTTATTCCTTTATACAGATAGATAGAGAATATTGTTTACCTCCCTTTGGTAGAAAATGGTACAGTTTATACCCTGTATAAAGCATGGGAAATATATTGGAATTTAGTTATCATATAAGGTTTAAATAAATGAAACATTCATCTGTCTAAAACCATGACTGGGATAGACAGAGAAAAAAATTAATTTAAAGAAACATACATTGATTGTTTATTTTATATAAACTATGTAGATGTGATTTTATACACTATTGACCAACATATGATTTTAAAAAGCCATTGAATCATGAATCAAGATTGTTAAAAAAAATACTAAGTGATAAATTTTATTTGTAAGTGTCATTTGTGTGCATTGTTTTTTTTTTCAAAATTAAGACACATATTGTAGCTAAATGCATTAAAGCCCCTAATCTTGTTATTGAAACAGATTATTGTATCTATTTAAATATGAATAATTTCTTAAGAATGATTTAAAAAAAAAACAACAAAAAAAACCCCAATTATTTGGTGATTGATATTAAGTTGAAATTACTGGAAATATTGTTTGGACTATTATCATTACTACTGAAGGGAGGTAATTTGTGTAGTAAACCTATTTTATGACTATATGTATATTATGACAGTGTTTTAGTAAGTAACAAATGATACAGGAATGTTGATATGGTGTTGTATTGGTGAATGATATGCATGTATGTATGTTGTATTCTATATATAGAATTTTATATACAAAAATAAACAGTTCTAAAAAACCAGAAGAGTAGAAGGATATGAATAGTATCTTTTTCTGTGGGACAAAAATAGATAACTGTTGCCTAAAATTTTCTGATATTTTGTTGGAAAGATGACATAACAGTAGCAAGGGTTTTAGTTCATTAGAAACGTTTATAGATGTGTTAATGGATATAAAAAAGGGGATTACATTGTAGGTATATATGTGGTTTCTGGCAGAAATTTTGGTTTTTCATTTAAGTCAAGTTTTTAATCATTATAGATTAAGATACAAAATTAAACATAATGTATTTAGAAAATGCTTATTTATATGAAACTATATATAAGTTTCAGTTGAAAGTTTGCTTTGAATTATTCTCTTTATTTGGGCGTCCATGGCTCAGTGGTCAAGTTCATTGATTTCAAACCACTTGCCACAGCTGTGGGTTCAAATCTGTCCATTCTTTTATGTGAGGAAGCTATCAAGCTTGCTTATGGAATGTTGGTGGTTTTACTCAGGTGCCTGCTGATGCATGAAATAATGCATGGACAGTAGCTGAGGTCTTTTGTCAACCAGTTAAGATGGAAAGTCACCAAAAAAAAAAAATATATATATAAATTGTATTGCAGCAAACATTACTGATTAAGTTGTGAAGATAGTAAGATTGTGATAACTGTTCATTTACTTATACATGTACATGTATTTACTTGCACCTCTATGTAGCAGATTTGATTACTTACTATTGTTATTCCTTTATTTATGAGATCTATGCAGATAACTAAAGGGATATGGATAGTTCTGTATAAGCTGATGCTTGGTAATGCCTGAGGCATAAAGTATCCTGGTTTTTCTTTTTAATTTGACAGACTGAATGTGACTAGATATGATACAGATGTACATAAATGTACTAAATAAAGGCAGCAACATGTATAATGCAGTTTATAAATGTTCAGTGGGATAAACTGTGTATGAATGACTTGTGTTGAATATAATATTGTTGTTGTTATTGTTGCATGTTTTAAGAACCAGGATGAACCACATGTAAGCTTTGATATTTTCTGTGTGTGTCTGTTTATCTGTCTGTCTGTGTGCACTATCAAACTTATCATTATGATTTTAATATATATTTTTGTAACTGCTTCTTTACACGATCACTTTTGTAATATGTAATAATGTACTAAAATGACATAATGCCTAGTTTTGTTACACATTTTTGTGCTCTAAGAAATTGGGATTTAGTTTTGTACTGAAAGGAACAATGGGATACAGGGCATAAGAATTTTAAATAACTTCTTGTGTTTCTTTTGTGTTTAAAACATGATAAAACTTTAATTGGGTTGAGTAATCATTTGAAATCGATATGTAGAAAAGGCGTTTGAGGAAACAATAACTTTTGCTACTCCAGATGACTTCTCTGCTTCAATGGTTTGTTAATCTGTATTATACTGTTGCTTATTTACAAAATAGATTTGATCTGTTTTGGTGATGAAAATATTTATTGATAATTAGATCATAGATGAGTTCAGTATGATTAAGGAACACAACAGTAATTAATTTTGTCTACAATAGGTTTCATGAATTCTTATGGTGTTAATGTAAAGTTTTTGCCCGAAGGGTTATACTGTGTTATTGAAGCTTAAATACAGATTGCTTAGAGTGAACACTATATTAATATTTTACACTAATACTGAACTAGAAGCAGTTACAGAATTTATATACCTTACTAAATGATAATATATATATTTGTAAACAGAAAATGTTTCATATACAATGACTAATCATTAACTTATTTTCTGGTTTGTATTTTATTGAATCTCTTAAATAGGCAATGTATAAAAGTTTATAAAATTTAATATATAGTAAAAGATGACATGTGTTGTATGAACACCTTCCTTAATTAATATTTGAAATAATCGGTCTAAGTTACATGATTTTATTTCTTTTATGGAAATTGAGAAGTTAGTTTAATGATTATTGAATCCTGTAATCTTGAGTCTATTCATTGAAAACATTATTTTATTGAAATAACATATGGTTTATTATAGATCAAATACTCATTCAGATACATGTATATATTTGGTATTTTTGTGCATTTTGCATTAACATGAGAACATGAAAAAAAACACAAATTAGAAATTTTATTTAATGTTTGGTAAATTACTCCTGTTTGTCTATTGAACTATGATGTTGAATGTGTAGTCATTAACAATGATTAACAAAAATATTTTATAATTATAGCATATATAGGAAAACTGACATTTCTTACTCTATGATTGGTTTTTGATAAGTTAGCTTTTAAACTTGATTAAAATTGGAAATACATGTAGATTTTTTCCAGATTCTTTATTTTACATGATTGTTTCTATTTGAACATGTTTTATCATGACCTACTCACTCATCAGTGTTGGTCCCAGCATTGGCTAGCCCTTTTTGTGTCGCCTTGAAAAAGGCAACATATAGGGGTTACTTTTGTCGGCGGCTTCGTTGTCGGTGTCGTCGTCGTTGTCGGCGTCCCCTAAAGCTTGTCCGGAGCATAAGTCAGTCATTATAAGTCGGATTGACTTCAAACTTGGTATGCATGCTTCTCATAATGACCCGAAGTGCAGTGCACAAGAACCGGTACTCTGTACTTCTTATTTTATGAGTTATTGCCCTTTGTTTATTTTCATACTTTACTTTTGTCCGGGCCATTTCTCCTGAAGTATAATATCTATGGACTTGAAACTTCAAAGGATGATAGATCTCATTAAGAAAAAGTGCAGTGCACAAGAACTGGTACTCTGCATTTCCTATTTTTTGAGTTATTGCCCTTTGTTAATTATCATACTTTATTTTTTGTCCAGGCCTTTTCTCCTAAAGTATAAAAGCTATGGACATGAAACTTCATAGGATGATAGATCTCATTAAGAAGAAGTGCAATGCCCAAGAACTGGTACTCTGCATTTCTTATTTTTTGAGTTATTGCCCTTTGTTAATTTTCATACTTTATTTTTGTCCGGGCCATTTATAAAAGCTTTAGACTTGAAACTTAATAGGATGATAGATCTTATTGATAAGAAGTGCAGTGCACAGAAACTGCTGATCTGCATTTCTTATTTTTTGAGTTATTGCCCTTTGTTAATTTTCATACTTTATTTTTGTCCAGGCCATTTCTCATAAATTATAAAAGCTTTAGACTTGAAACTTGATAGGATGATAGATCTTATCGATAAGAAGTGCAGTGCACAGAAACTGCTGATCTGCATTTCTTATTTTTTGAGTTATTGCCCTTTGTTGATTTTCAAATTTCAATTTTGTCTTTGCCATTTCTCTTAAACTATATTGTTCACAAGGCGACACATCCAACTCGCGGAGTTCTAGTTTGGTTTTAAATACTATCAAAACAATTTTATTGAACCATTATATGTGGAGGCACCTTTGTGAATTCTATCCGCCACATCCATTTTCAAGTGAAAAGGCCAAGGTCACTGTGACCTGTTATAAAAACCCCCATAAAACTGGCCATTAAATCCAAGTGCATTGACTGAGGAAATTTTAACTTTGTATGTACATGCTCCATGATAAGTCCTACCTGCCATAGGTTTTTTTTGGGTCAAAAGGTCAAATGTCAAAATGACATAATATTATCTTATTAATTATCTAGCACTGAAAACAAAGTGAAGAGTCAACTTTTGTTTTACTTCTGCTTATACAAATGTGAGTGGGATAAGTATACTTAGTTTCTAAAGCTTGTGAATTCAAGGCAATGCTTATACATCTCACTTAATTAGAAGTGTTGCCTAGAAACCTTGATTCTTTCTAATAATTCTGTTGGAATTACTCCATAGGACCCATGCTCTGGTTTCAGTTTAATCCTTTAGTTTTTCATATAAGTAAGTGTATAATGATTTGTATTTGTAATTGTGTAACAATAATATTGTTGGTTATTATGACTAAAATTTTATAAGCTTGATTGAACATTATATTTTATCAGAAATCTTTCAGCATTTTTGCTTCAATGGCTGCTTTTCTGTAGTTTATAATGATATATAGAAATATTGACTATATAACCTTTACCCTGCTGGCACTGAATATGATCACTAATTAGCCTTTACTCTGACATATATATAGCGAGTCTGGCCTGTACTACATGTATATAGCTAACCTAGCCTGTACGTCCATGCAATCTGACCAGCCTGAATAACTTTCAAGTTTACGTCTTTATATCCCTAAAATTGATAATGGAGAGCTCAGAAATGTAGAGTTGGACAAGTCTGCTTAAGATACTCAGCAGGTTAAGGGTAAAGGTTGGGAATTGTTGAATGTATGTGTAATACATGTAGATAAACAATAGAGACTGTGGTGATTTTCTGTGGTATTATTTGGCTTTTTTACTTATTCAGTAAAAAAAACTTCCCATTTATTTGTTGAAATGTAAATTTTGATTTAATTACCAAATAAATATTGCATTTAGGAGAAAAAGATTTTTTTTCTTCTGAAGTAATTAATACTTGAATAATTGAATATCAAAAATAAGAAATAGTATGTAAAATTGTGAATTGGTCCTACCATGTTCCCATTTGTAAACAATAAATATATGTTTGAGAGTTTTTACATGTATAATTTTTATATAACACCAATTTCTATTTTTACAGAAATCCTATGATGAGGATGTGGCCAGTAAAAAGATAAAAAAGAGTTTGACACCAGTGGTGGAACTTGAAAAGAAACGTGGACCACCAAAGAAGTCTACATTTGATGCTGATGAACTTCTCAGAAAGAGATTAATGTCATTGTATAAATCAGTGTATGATTATGCTGTAAGTTCTACTTTCCTATTACAGGATGATACAATTTTGTTGTAAAGATTATGTGGTTCAAATTGACTTTAGAGCTAAGTGTTTGTAGTAAATTGGAAATAAGTAATGTTGGGTTGCTTTGTTGGGAGAGCATTAAAGTGACTCTGAATCATACAGAAACTATGTCTCAGTGACAATTTGGCTGAGGAAATAATTTCTAAAATATTAGTTTTTTTTGCTTGGAATTCCAGGAGAAGTAGTTATTAAGATGTGAAGACACAGGTAATTCCATGAACACTAGCTTGTCAGTACCATATAATGAGTATTATGGCCTAGCAGTCCATCTTTCTAAGAGTGTAAACTTGTGCTAAAAATAATGATGCGGTTTAAGTCTCTTTTTAACTATTAACTTTGAAGTCTCGTACAATTACATTAGGTTTGTTTTGTAGCTGATCGTGACTGATATGTTGTTGTTGTTGTCTGTTTTAGGATAGCACAGGTAGATTGTTACGTCAGATATTTATGTATCTACCATCAAAGAAGGATTATCCTGACTATTATAAGGTTATAACAGATCCTATTGACCTTAGTATAATTGAAGGCAAGATCAAAGGAAATAAGGTAAGACGTCCAATACATATGTACAAGAAAATGATTTAGTCTTATACAATGTTTATGATATTCCACTTATTTTCATAGCTGGTTTGGGTAGGTAAATTATGGAATTGTCTTTAGTGCAAAATTCCAAGTCATAACAGAAACTCGAATACACTTAACTATTGGCTATGTCCATTTAGTTCAATATATAAAAGCAACATACCTGAGGATTATTAAATTTGATTCTGACCTGGTTCGTTATTTTTTGGCAAATGTTCTGTAACTCTATTCCGGAACAATCTGAAAAAATAGCTAATATAACAGATATATGGCTGAAATATTCTTACTAAATCATACTTAAGCCTTAAATTTCAGAGAATAGTTGTTGACCATGGGAGACTAAAGGATAAGTTATGTAGAATGTTGTTTTATATGTTTCAGTATCCATCAGAATATAACCTGATGTCAGACTTTGACCTGATGTTTAAGAATGCTCGACATTATAATGAGGAAGGTTCCCAGGTTTATACGGATGCTATCACCCTGGAGAAGGCTCTCAAAGCTAAATGGCGAGTTATAAACCAAGCTGCTGGTACACCTAGACCAGGCAAATCGTAAGTTGATGTGTTATTGTTCTATAGATGTTTGTTCTTATTTATGTTGGTCACTTTTGTAAAGTAATCTTTCATCCAAAGATGTTGAAAAAAAAAAGATTTTTGTCTTAAATTGAATTTTTTTTAAATTATCTTATTATACAATGCGACATTGAGCTTGTATCATGGAGAAGATTGTTTTGCTATTATTTGTAGAAGTTCAGTATATAGGAAAAACCTACTGTAAATTGTTGTGCCCCATTAGTTCTTGAATAATTTGTGGAAATGTTGAAATATATATGTAGAATATATATTTAGGAATTAAGTGATACCTTAGAAATTGCTTAAAGCCTTGTGTAGAATCTTTCTGATTATTAATGAAAAAAGGAAATTGTCAGTATGTTGGTTAAGAAATCTTATTTATACTTCAAAGTAAGATTAGATTTGCTAGAGAAGCTCAAAATATATAAATATATAATTTTATATCTTGTTTACAGGAAGACACGTAAAGGTCCTGCACCAACAACTTTGGCATCAAGACTTCAAGAACTTTACGAATCAATCAGAGATTATCAAGATACAAGGGGAAGAACTCTGTCAAGTCCATTCATGAAAGTTCCAGCAAAGACTGTAAGTACTGTAGATATTTTTCTCCATTTATCCTTTAGTTGTTGATTCTTTGCTGAAACTAGCGACAACATATAGTCTTCTTTTGTTTTTGTATCATCAACTAATTGATTCTTTAAGATTCTCTCTTCAATATGATTTTTTGAACAGTATTGAAGAATTAAATTTGGAGACTTTATTTTTTGAAAAGTGACTTTATAACTTGGTGTTATGTTGCTTGCTAATTAATTGTTGTAAACTTAATGACTAATTGTTCATATTTAAGGATTACCCGGACTATTATGAAGTAATTAAGAAGCCGATGGACATGTCAAGTATATCTCAGAAGATGTTGTTAAAACGTTATGAGTCCATGGAGGATATGGTTGCTGACTTTGTTCAAATGTTTGACAACGCATGTAAATATAATGAGCCGGATTCTCTCATATATAAGGTAATGTCAGCATTTATTAGCAAGTTTTTATACATAGTTTGGCTAATGTCTTTGCCATCCACATTTCCAGTTTCTTCTCCTTTACCTGTTTTATTTCATTTCTGTATCTTCAACTAGCTATCTATTTCATTCTTTGCCATACAAATTTCATATATAATATCCCTGTATCTAAATTTTCTGTTTATATGGAGAAATATTTACATTTACTCTGTGAATGACCTTATTTACCTTTAATTACAATTTCAACAGTTGTTGTCATATTAGAAATATTAGTGTTTTTAGAAAGCCTAAATTCTTTATTTTAAAGTAAAAATGTGTGTAAATTTTTGCCACTTAACATATTCTATTTTCCCTATCCCAGGAAAGTAATCAAAGATGAAATATTTACATATTTAACATATTCCTTCACCTGATTTCAGGATGCCCTGACATTACAAAGGGTGTGTCTAGAAAAGAAGGTGGAGCTAAGTGATGATTTCACCAATGAGGTTCCTGATGTGCGAGCAGTTGTACAGGAAATGATGACAAATCTATTTATAGCTACATACAACCATCAGGACGAGGAAGGGAGATGTTACTCGGACTCATTCTCAGAATTACCAGAACGAGATCCAGGAATGGACCCTAATGCTGAGTACATATCTACATTAATTCATACTCTTGATTCAAAATAGTCACTTACTCATATTCAATGTTTAAAAATAAAGAAATAGTTTCTGTTTATAATAAAATCTTTCTATTGGTCTTACTGGTGTAGCCTCTATTTTATATGTTTTTGCCAACTTTTTTAAGCTCCCTTGTATAGTAAATGTCTTACAGCAAAGTGTAGAATAAACAGTTCACCGGTTACTGACTTATATTTACCATTAATGTTAAAATACATAATAGATGTTAAGTTGTAATTTTATTGCAATGATAATAAAAAGAAGATATGAATCATGATTATATTTGTTTTCAGGAGGCCACTGTCTTTTGACAAGATAAAGAGAAACCTAGATAGAGTAAGATATATATTTCTGGCATTTTAACTTCATTTTGAGTAATGGAGAATGAAGTTGAGACTGAAGATGAAAGTTTTTATAATATTTTTACAGTATACTGTGTACTGTTTCTGTATGTATAAGACTTATTCAAATAATCAAAGTAACAAGAATAATAATAAACAATCTTAACCAGATTGGTGGTTCATCCCATGTGGCAGTAACTGAACATTGATTATACACAGAATGGTATCTGGGATTTTCCTTTACCATTATAGCCAGTCACCATATGACTTAAACAGTTCTTTACTGTTACTTAGATTAAAACAAAGCCAACAAAAGAAGAAAAAGACCATCCAGACAAAAAAGAAAATTATAAATCAAGATTATATTGTGAAGTGTATGGTGATTTTATAGTTCTGTTATATAATTTCAGGGGCGTTATCGTAGAATGGACAGGTTTCAGGATGATATGTTTAAAGTGTTTTCACGAGCTCGTGCTATGAGTCGTTCTGACTCACAACTTTACGAAGACACTGTAGAGATGCAGATGTTCTTTATCAAGAATAGAGATGCATTGTGTAAAAATGGCGAAGTACTTCTGTCACCGGCCCTCAGTTTTACTGAGAAACATATACATAGTATTGTAGAGGTAAATGATACACTCTTTTTTAGCTCGACTATTCGATAAGAATAAGTAGAGCTATTGCAGTCACCCGAGCGTCGGCGTCGGCGTCGGCGTCGGCGTCGGCGTAACCACTTATGTTAAAGTTTTTGTAATAGTTCAAATATTTTCAAAGTCCATTGACATATGGCTTTGAAACTTTGCACACTTGTTCACCATCATGACCCCAACCTGTAGACAGGAGGAGGTAACTCTATCAAGCATTTTGACAGAATTATGCCCCTTTTTCGACTTAGAATTTACGTTAAAGTTTTTGTAATAGTTCAAATATTTTCAAAGTCCATTGACATATGCTTTGAAACTTTGCACACTTGTTCACCATCATGACCCCAACCTGGTAGACAGGAGGAGGTAACTCTATCAAGTATTTGACAGAATTATGCCCCTTTTTCGACTTAGAAATTTACGTTAAAGTTTTGTAATAGTTCAAATATTTTCAAAGTCCATTGACATATGGCTTTTGAAACTTTGCACACTTGTTCACCATCATGACCCCAAACCTTTACACAGGAGGAGGTAACTCTATTAAGCATTTTGACAGAATAATGCCCCTTTTTTGACTTAGAATTTACGTTAAAGTTTTTGTAATAGTTCAAATATTTTCAAAGTCCATAGACATATGGCTTTGAAACTTTGCACACTTGTTCACCATCATGACCCAACCTGTAGACAGGAGGAGGTAACTCTATTAAGCATTTTGACAGAATTATGCCCCTTTTTTGACTTAGAATTTATGTTAAAGGTTTTGTAATAGTTCAAATATTTTCAAAGTCCATTGACATATGGCATTGAAACTTTGCACACTTGTTCAACATCATGACCCCAACCTGTAAACAGGAGGAGGTAACTCTATCAAGCATTTTGACAGAATTATGCCCCTTTTTCGACTTAGAATTTACGTTAAAGTTTTTGTAATAGTTCAAATATTTTCAAAGTCCATTGACATCTGGCTTTGAAACTTTGCACACTTGTTCACCATCATGACCCCAACCTGTAAACAGGAGGAGGTAACTGTATCAGGCATTTTTTTTACTATCAAGCACTAAGAATAGTCGAGCATGCTGTCCTACCGACAGCTCTTGTATATTCCTATATTCTATCAGATTTAAACAAGACAGTACATGATAGCAAATTACTAAAACCCAATGAAATAATCATTGTAAAGGCTTATTGGTATATGACTAAATTAAAAAAAAAGTCAGTTACATCAGAAATTGAAATTTAACAAAGTAAAGAAAGGAATCTTATGAGATGAATAAGCTGTTAATAATTTGTGATTTGTTTGAACATTGTAGGCAGAGAAGTTGGCAAAGAGTGTGGCTGAACAAGCTGAAGATGAGAAGAAAACAGGTGATGTGGAGGAGACTCCACAAGTATCCACTGATGTAAGTCACAACTTCTACACCTATCTATGATTATATTGTACAGTGTGTGGTGTTTAATTGTGTTTAATGTTATATGCAGTCTTCATGGAAATGGAAGTACACTGACTATGGAGATGGGAGACTTCATGTGGAAATGTTAGGTAGTAAGCAGATAGATTGAGATCAATGTACAGGGATGATATTGTGATTACTAAACATAAGATCTATAAGTTAAATAGTGATTGCTTATATATTAAATGCTAAAAACTTGCCTTTTCACCTTTCAAAATGCACTTTTAAACATCTAAATAATCCTTGGACCGATTTATTTTTGATAATGTATGAAAAATGTAAAAATCAATGAAAAAGATTTTCTACTCTGTGATCATGATTTCTGCAAACCCCTTGAGTTAAATCCTATATCAAGGTGTGGTAAGTAAACAATTCAGCCATGGGAGAAGGTTCTGCATACATGATTGTTAAAGCTGAGGTAGTTTGACATCAAATACATCTATCTGTCTACAGGATAAGATATAAAGTAAAGTATTTGATGTGTATTTCAGGGAGAGGGTAATGAAAGTTTGAAATACAAAGATCAGATATACAGGGTTGGTGATTTTGTCTACATAGAACCAAGGTTTGTACAATAATTGATTCATAATTAAGGTTAATTGCTTACTTCATGATTTTGCAGCATATTTTATGATTTTATCTTGGTTGGCTTGAAACAGCAATATTTGTAGTTTTGTTTTGATGCTTTTTATTCTACAACAATTAGAGCAAATGGTAATATAGTTTGTGTGATAAGTTTTCACCTTTATCTATATAACTACCATCCATTTGTCAATGAAAAGAAAATTTAATTTTGGATCTTTTTATGGAATTATTAATTACTGTTTTGCTGTGAGTAACTTCAACTTGATTGTTATTTTATGGTACCTCAGTTTTAAAATGAACATTTTATGAAAATTGTCATGAACACAACCTCTCAGGATTCACATTTGATAACTTGTAAATATCTTATATTTAAAACAGCATTAGCTTTAAAAAAGGTAATATCTCTATATAAACAGGAAAACAACATTAGCTTTAAAAAAGTAATATCTCTATATAAACAGGAAAACAACAAAGTAATATCTCTATATAAACAGGAAAACAACAAAGTAATATCTCTATATAAACAGGAAAACAACAAAGTAATATCTCTATATAAACAGGAAAACAACAAAGTAATATCTCTATATAAACAGGAAAACAACAAAGTAATATCTCTATATAAACAGGAAAACAACAAAGTCGGGGAGAATAAGAAAAAGAAATACAAAATATTTAAGGTATCACATTACATGAGAAAAAAAACCTCAACAGAATATTTCATGGAAAGTTTGGTCGCTATGTTTTTACTTGTTTCGTTTTTGTTTCATTTTGCTAGCTTTTTTATGCTTTATGATTTATTTGTTTGCTTTTGCAACTTGTTGTTCATTTCCATGTTAAAAGTTTAATGAATAACAACGATACAAAATTATTCAATTTTGAAGCAAAATAACATGTTCCTAACTGCTATTTTTTATTTAAATGTAAGTGCTCATTGTACTTTACAGTTGATTACAAAGTTTTATAAGTTTATACTTTGATAATATAATTTTGGTCTGTCTGGTTTGACTTTCTGTTTGTTACAAAACTTAAACTTTGTCCAAAACAGGAAAGTCCTTCCACATAAAGTCGTCACAGGTCCATGCACCATGATGAGCTCTACATGCCAGACGGAGGGTCATAGTGTTCATATTCCAACATAGTGAATGCTTGCTGCTTCTATCTATATTGATTTCAATACATTTTGTACATAAAATTATTAAGCATTTGTCCTCCAGGTTGAAACTGACTCAGCTAAATAACCTATACCAAGTAAAAAAGCCTTTACCAAAGAAATGATCTCTACCAAATACCAATTAAAATGATTTATACCAAATAAGATCACCTATACCAAAAAGAATAGCCTGTACCAAAAAAAGATCTGTATAAAAAAAACACGCCAAATATGCATATTGTTCATAGTTACTTATTTCTCTAATGTTTCGCATGTTTTGTTTGCACTTTTTACATTAAGGTAACCATAAAGTATGATGGTAGCATACAAGTATATATACATACTTGGATATAAAAAATATATGTGTGGTGATTTAGTATGAAGCAGGATGTATATCTTTTGGGGGAATTTTTTCATGGAATATTGATGGCACAATATATATTATTGTATGAGAGAGAAGTTCTAGAATGTGACATTATTTTCAATGTTTTCAGAGATTCAGACAGTGAGCCCCATATATTATGTATAGAGAAAATCTACACTGATAATGATGGTCAGCAACAGGTGTATGGTAACTGGTTCTACCGACCAAATGAGACTTTCCACCTGGCTACCAGAAAGTTTCTACAGAAAGAAGTGTTGAAGAGTGACTGTTACGCTAGCACGTCACCAAACCAAATCATTGGAAGATGTTTTGTAATGAATGTCCGAGAGTATTTCAAATATAAACCAGAGGTAACATTTGACTTTTGGAAACTTTGCAGTGATAGTTTTTATTCTATAATTATACCCCCAAAAACGAAGTTTGGGGGGGTATATAGGAGTCACCCAGTGGTCGGTTGGTCGGTCCAGCGGTCCGTTGCATTTTCCTTGTCCGGAGCATAACTTGAAAACTAACGGTTGGAAGTCAATATAACTTCATACAATGGTCAAGCACATTGAGAGGAAGTGCAGTGCACAAGAACCATAACTCCATCTTGACTAATTACATAATTACAGAGTTATTGCCCTTTGTTACTTTTCCTTGTCCGGAGCATAACTTGAAAACTACTGGTTGCAATTCAAAACAACTTCATACTATTGTCAAGCACAATAAGGAGAAGTGCAGTGCACAAGAACCATAACTCTATCTAAAGTAATTACAGAGTTATTGCCCTTTGTTACTTTTCGATTGCTTTTTGTGTCGCCTCTACGGAGTAGTGGCGACATATAGGGATCACTTCTCCGTCGTCTGTCTGTCCGTCTGTCTGTCCGTCCGTCCGTCCGTCTGTCCGTCCGTCTGTCACAAAACTTGTCCGGACTACTCCTCATAAACTACTGGTGCAATTTCATCCAAACTTTACAGGAATGATCAGTACCAAGTCTAGTTGTGCATATTGTAAGCATTTTCGGGTTCAATGATTTTTGTCAGAGTTATGGCCCTTTAATAATTTTTAATTTTAAAGTTTGTCCGGACTACTTCTCTTATACCACTAATGCAATTTCAATGAAACTTTACAGGATTGATCTTTAGCTCAAGTCCTTGCGCATATTGCACGGGTTTTCTGGTTGAAAGATTTTTTGCCGAGTTATGGCCCTTTGATAAAAAGGTGTTTTTTTCTCTGTGTTGCCAGATACACAAAAGCTTGTCCAGACTACTCCTCATAAACTACTGGTGCAATTTCATCCAAACTTTACAGGAATGATCAGTACCAAGTCTAGTTGTGCATATTGTCAGCATTTTCCGGTTCAATGATTTTTGTTTGAGTTATGGCCCTTTAATAATTTTTATTTTTAAAGTTTGTCCAGACTACTTCTCTTATACCACTTATGCACTTTCAATGAAACTTTACAGGATTGATCTGTAGCTCAAGTCCTTGCGCATATTGCACGGGTTTTCCGGTTGAATGATTTTTGGCCGAGTTATGGCCCTTTGATAAAAAGGTGTTTTTTTTCTGTGTGTTGCCAGATACGCAAAAGCTTGTCCGGACTACTCCTCATAAACTACTGGTGCAATTTTATCCAAATTTTACAGGAATGATCAGTACAAAGTGGTTAGTCTAGTTGTGCACTGTCCGTCTGTCCGTCCGTCTGTCACAAAATTTGTCCCAACATGAAATTGGCCATCATGAGGCGACACATGTGATTACTGATCGCTCTTGTTTTGTCCAGAGTATAACTTGAAGACAAATGGTTGGAATTCAATATAATTTCATACAATGGTCAAGCACAGTTAGAGGAAGTGCAGTGCACAAGAACCATAACTCTATCTTGACTAATTACAGAGTTACTGCCCTTTGATACATTTCCTTGTCCAGAGCATAACTTGAAAACCACTGATTGGAATCATACAATTGTCATGCACAATAAGGAGTAGTGCAGTGCACAAGAACCATAACTCTATCTAAAGTAATTATAGAGTTATTGTCCTTTGTTACTTTTCCATTGCTTTTTTTGTCCGGACCATAACTTGTAGACTAATGGTTGGAATTCAATATAACATCATACAATGGTCAAACACAGTTAGAGGAAGTGCAGTGCACAAGAACCATAACTCCATCTTGACTAATTATAAAGTTACTGCCCTTTGTTACTTTTCCTTGTCCAGAGCATAACTTGAAAACTACTGATTGGAATTCAAAACAACTTCATACAATTGTCAAGCACAATAAGGGGAAGTGCAGTGCACAAGAACCATAACTCTATCTAAAGTAATTACAGAGTTATTGCCCTTTGTTACTTTTCGATTGCTTTTTTTGTAGGGAGTATAACTTGAAGACAAATGGTTGGAATTCAATATAATTTCATACAATGGTCAAGCACAGTTAGAGGAAGTGCAGTGCACAAGAACCATAACTCCATCTTGACTAATTACAGAGTTATCGCCCTTTGTTACTTTTCCTTGTCTGGACCATTACTTGAAAATTACTGATTGGAATTCAATACAACTTCATACAGTTGTCAAGCACATTAAGAGGAAGTGCAGTGCACAAGAATCATAACACCATTTTGACAAATTACAGAGTTATTGCCCTTTGATACTTTTCCTTGTCCAGAGCATAACTTAAAACGTACTGGTTGGAATTAAAAAAAACTTCATACAATGATCAAGCACAATAAGAGGAACTTTGTAAGGAAATGGGGTCATTGTGGCTAAATGGTTATAGTTACTGACTTCTAGTCTCCTGCTTCTCATTACTGTGGGTACAAACCCTGCCAAAACATTGAATTCTTTCATGTAACATAGCTTTTTCATTTGCTTGATAAAGGTTGAATGTTCTATCCAGGTACCTGTTTTTGCCTGAAATCAAAAATACTTGATATTTATCATAAGTAAAAGCTTCCTATATTTATAAAAGAAATGTTTATGTTTTTTCCCTTTATCATAATGATAATATTTGTAATTTTTACCAGGGTTATGCCGACAATGATGTATATGTGTGTGAGTTCAGATACACCAGTAAGACAAGAAGCTTCAAGAAAATAAAGGTAATATATAGGAACAGATATGATTGAAATATCTGGATTAATCTATTAGTTATGTATTTTGTTAAAAAGCAAACTAGAAGGTTACTTTTTAGGATATATTTAATTGTATGAATTATAGTTTATTCTTGGAAGAACATATGTTTAAGATAAAAAAAATGTAGTATTAATAGATTTATGTATAGAGGATACCGGGTCTCAGCTTTTGGAGAAGAATTTCTAAATGAAATAGAAGAATTTAGTTTCAAATAAAGATTTAGATTGTATACTGGATTACCATAGGATCAGCTGTTATTCAATTATTGCTTGGAATATTATAAATCATAAATAATACTGAGTGGCATCATGTACTATATATAATTTAGCTGTGGTCAGTACCAAGAAGTGAGGAGCTGAAGTTGATAGAACGAGATGTACCATTTCACCCGATACGTGTGGCGTCCATATTTGCTGACAAAGACAAAGATGAGTTTGATGACGGAGATACCAGTATACTGGATAAAGAAAGAAATGTATGGTGTCTTTTCTTTGATTCATTATCATTGAAAGAATTTTAAATGAAAATAGAATTTACATGAATGGTTGTGGTAGGGATAAATGTATTGGTTTAACCATGTGTTTACAAAATTTGTTAGATTTTTGGTATGAATTTATCCTATATTTAAGACTGTAAAAGTTATTATTTAAATTTTCTTTGCTGCAACAAATGTCAATGTAAAGAAAAACATTGAAAATTGTGTTTTGCCTTTGAAATGTCATCCTACCCAAATATATGAGACTGTGAGTTACAAATAAGTTGTGCATATATATACGCAGGATGTTGTTGTGAATGTGGGAGCACCTAATGAAGATGGTCAGATATTATATGAACAAATGAGGACATTGACAGGGGTGTACAAAGTTGGTGAGTTATTTCATGTGTTCACTCCAAATAAACTTTTTCAGACAATTTTAAAAATCTCTATAATTTTGACAGGTTTTACGAATACCGATATTTTTGTGACTGTTCCAACAGGTAAAACGTATTGTTAGTAATAGAAAGAGCATCGAAACACGAGGCTATCCATGATTTGTACGAGGGGGCATAGCCCCCGAGTATTAATCAGATTGCCGGGTGTTTTGGTGTTCTATCTCTTTTGTATCTTTTGTATCATAGTCAAACATAAAACACATTCCATGTTGTCACAATATGAAACCCCAGAAAAAAAGTAATAACCAATGAAGGAGCATCTGAATATGATATTTCTATCGTTATCCCTTTCTCTGTTGTCACAATATGTAAATCCCAGACATAATGAACCAATCAATGGGCATGCTCTGGAGTGTGGGTAATTAATACATGCACTCCAGTTAACGCACTGTGCATGTATATGTATACGATTTAACTCTGACACATTTTCAACAGAAAGGTCCCCAAACTATGATACAATTTGACTTTACAGCAAAGAAGAAAACTTCAAACTGCTACCACATATTACTGAGTAAATATTTGTAGACAACTTATACCAAAAATAACTTGGTCTTCAAAGAATCAGCTTATTCTCAGCATGCAAATTAAGCATAGACCTTTTTGTCTGGGACAAATACACATTCATATGTGTTTAAAAATTGATGAAGTTTTTAATTACATGCTATATGATTGTTATCCATTGAATTTAGATTGTGAAGTAATTGTAACTTAGACTGAAAGTCAATGGAGCTTAGGTTGTGGAGTTACTGAAGTTTCTAAAAAAGATATAATATTTTGTTCAGAGATTCTTTAAATGATTTAATTAACTATTTTTATTTCTATCTAGGTGATTGTGTATATGTAAAGTCTGATATGGATAAACCATTGATATACAGAATAGATAGAATGTGGGCAGATAAATATGAACAGAGATATTTCTATGGTCCTCTGTTTATACGACCATGTGACATTGAACATCCACCTACTAGACTGTTTTACAAGAATGAGATGTTTATATGTGGTGTAGAGGAGGCTAGAACCATGGATAGTGTTACAGGAAGATGTTGTGTTCTACATGTGAAGGACTTCTGTACCAGTAAGATAGTTGTCACAATACAAAAACTACAAATAGAAATTACATATGAGATTTTAATCTTAAATCAGTTTCATACTAATAAAAATCCTGAGAATACTAGTATGTCATAGTTAGATTGCACACAAACAATTGATTGATGTAAAGGCTGCAAGTATGTATGTTAATATTTAACTTTGACTTTGTCAAAGATAATGCCATATTTATAAACTTAAAGATGTTGAATTGTTAATTAAAAGTTGAATTAGAAAGGTAATTCTCCCAGTAGTAAAGCAGGAATGTCACTATAAGACCTTTACAGTGTTAGTAGGACAGAAAACCAGAGACAAGTAAAATATAATATCCCAGTATAGTTCGGATTGTATGAGCTTACATACATATAATACTGAACCATATAACTGATGAAAAATATTTTGTTTGTTTACAGATAGCACTTGTTTTATAAGTCTGCCCTTTACAAATGTTTGACTGTAAGATAAGCATCCAGTCAGAAATATCAAAGTAATATCACTCTGTTAAAGTTAAGATATGTTAATGTCAAGTCATGTTTATAAAGTTATAAACACTACAGGAATTGAATATATTTATAACAGGTCGTCCTACAGAAGTGTTGGAATCTGATGTGTATATCTGTGAGTCAAAATACCATGAGGTAGAGAAAACTGTCAGGAGATTGTCAAAGGGTCTAAAGGTGAGCTTCTTGTATTATTGTTGTATACATGTACAACATGCTAATTAAGTTATGTAATTTTTACAAAATGTTTATAATTACTTGAATTACATGTTGACTTTTCCACTTACTTGACATTTCTGCTGGTACACATGTTGTTAGGGAAATTCATGAGAAAAACAGGGCTTATTCTATACAGGTATTTCTTATGTCTGACATAGTACTCAAAAATGGTGGTGAAGAATGAAAATTTAAGGGCATAATTTCTTTCAGAGCAGGTTTATGCCCCTTTGAAATGAATTAGAATAATAAGGTGATATAGAGGCTGTCAAGTTTTATTACTTGTTATTTATTAGATACTAAGTTTATTGAAGATTTAATGTATGAGATATTTGATGTAATAGTTAATGTAATTTTTATTTTTTCAAGAAACATTCATTGTCACCAAGGGTAACAGATGATGAAGTTCTCTTCTTCCGTAAACAGATTGTTCCAGCTAAGGTATGTTTTATATAATCTAATAACTTACTTGTTTTTTTTTCTCTCTGTATTTTACCCTTAAGCATGTAGAAATTTGTATATCCCATGTAAATGGCCTTTTATGCTACTATGTTAGTTGAGTTCTAGGGCTTTTTATAGTTAAACAAGCAAGAAAGTAAATATAACATAACAGTGGTTTGATTCTAGACTGTTGTTTCTTCTTTTAGAAGTGTTTACAATAGTTTTTGTACCAAATTGTTACAGTGTTAGTTTTCCAGGTAACAATAATGGAATTTATTTTCCAATTTATGACAAAAATTTCATGTTAGTCTAGGATATTTATGACTTTCCTTAGAGTAGTTGGAAAGGATGCAAGAAATAAATGGGGTTATAGATACAATAAATAATGAAATCACGTAACTTATTTTGGAAAATTATCTTTTTCAGACTTGTTTAGAAAAATTTAATTTGTAACATCACAACCAACATCACCAAGTTTTCAATTTAAAGCAATCTTAAATTCTTTATAGATTCTTTATAATTACACACATGAATATTGATGTTTGTGGCAAAGGAACATTTTTATTTTTAATGAAATGTTAGTAAAAATATTGGAAGAAAATTATCTATATTTTGTAACAAACATTTTTTTGTTTTTATTTGGGTATTATTTTTATGTTTTCAGTCAGCTAATGCAAATTACACAGATTGTGTTTATAGCTCTACTTTTCAAAGAAAAAGAAAAAAAGTATTATTTCCTTTGTGTCAAGTTTTGTGCCATGATTCATGTAACCAACCATGTTACATTGCCCTGACTTGCTATGTGAACCAATTATCACCCTTGTTTACTTGGGACTTCAGTAAAAAAATTGTTGCTGTACTAAGCAGGATATTAGGATGAAATTTAACATGTCTCTAAGGCCAGTTAAATAGGTTGCTGACAAAGTTTGATAATGTTAATGTTTTGACACTTTTTATCACTTTATCAGAAAATTAGAAAAAGTGGAGCTTTGTATCTTACAGACAACTACTGTTTTATCTTGTGATTAAAATATCTAACATTTGTTGTCAATTCATGCAAACTTCTTACAAACATTTCAAATTTGTAAAAGAAATATGCAAATTTAAAAAAAGATCCCATCCAGCAAGGGGGTTTAAAATCTTGACAAACAGCTTTTAAGCAAATAAAAAAAATGCTGTGTACTTAAAAAAAAGAGGAAAAAAACCCCAAAGAATTGACCCCTAGATCATAGATGCAGCTGTAAGAAGTTGTAATGTATGAAATAATCAAGATAGATGTGCATTCATATGTAAGCTTATATTACAGTTTCCAGGTCTTATTTTAGAAATGTTTATATGAAATTGACAACATATATCAGATCTAAATACCGTATATCAGGTTTTTTCGCTAGTATAATGCAAATATAGATTCATTAAAATTTACTTCAATTTAATACAAGGTATTTGTGTGTTTCTGTATCTTGTTTTATTAAAAAAATTTATAAAGAGGACAACAAAAATTTCTAGTGACACAGTGAGCAAACTGGTATTTTGTTTGATTAATTGATTATCCAATGAAAATAATTCACACTATGCACACAAATACCAAAACATAGGTATAACAGTAATATGTTAATAATAAGAATAGACAAGACAATAAGTGTGAAATACCGAGTTCTGAACTATTTACGATACACCAATAGGAAAGTAAAAACTAGATTAACCTTTGGAAAAAAAATTAGACATTAAATAAAATGAATTTTTTTTAGCAGATAAACACGTAAAAATAGAAACATGTTCAGCAATACTGCTAAAAAATTTGCCAAAATCACGAAATTTGCTTTACTCTAAAATAACCTGATATACGGTATAAGACTATGTTTTATGTTACTATTAGAGGTATATAATAAACTCCCCATAACAAAAGTATAATATACTGTAGGGGTAAAATTTAAGTTTTGTGTTTAAGATGCTATATTTGTGCAAAACCAATATTATACATGTATCTTTATTTCCATCCATAGGTGGAAATAGCCCACACATTCAATGTTATTAATAAACAGGTATAGATAAGTTTAAATTTCCTTTTCTACAAAGGCAAGCAGAGATTTCTGATATTTTACTTCTTCTTAACTTTGATATTTTCAAGTTTCTTCTTTTTCCAAAATATTACATTTTTGATTTGCATAATGTGAACGAAATTATAATTCAATGACTTGTAGCCAACTTAATGTGATAAAAAAGAAATCCAACAGTTTTTGGCCTCCTACAATTACAAGCTTCAGTTTCTATTCCCTTCAGTAGTTATTTTATTACATTTTAGTTTTAATCAGCTTGCTTACCTGCAAAAAGAATACATTAGAAATGAAAGAGTAATGATAAACTATGTAAAGAAATCTTTGCTTAAGCTGTCATCCACCCAAATTGCTTTCGGTGTTTGCGTTTTTTGTTCCTCAGTCATTTTTGTTTATTGAGTGGTAATACATCAGTGAACATATTGTTTATTTTGGAAAGTTCTGTACAGTGAAGTCCAGTCTTGAACAGTTCTACAGTCTAGATATACTTTAAATGAGCCGCGTCATGACAAAACCAATGTAATGCGTTTGCGACCAGCATGGATCCAGACCAGCCTGCGTATCCGCGCAGTCTGATCAGGATCCATGCTGTTCGCTATCAGTTTTTCTACTTGTTATAGGGTTTGTAAGCGAACAGCATGGATCCTGATCAGACTGCGCGGATTCGCAGGCTGGTATGGATCCATGCTGGTCCCAAACCCACTATGTTGGTTTTGTCGTGACACGGCTCAAATAACTCCTTCCATGCTAAATATATTAAATGAACTTGTCCATCTTTCAATTTGGACAAGACCATTCATCCTTTCTAGGGAAAATTTTCAAAACTTTTTACTGACTGAAAAGCAACCAGTGCAGAACAGCATCAGATGACATGGATTTTGCCAGCTGATCTTGGTCAGCACTGGGTCACATAAAAACAAACCTAACTAACATTACACTTTAAAGGAGAAGAGGAAGAAGTTTGGAAAGGAAGCAAAAGATCACAGTAGAAAAAAAGACAAAATAAGCTAAATTAGAGAACAAGCAAAAGCTCAGGAAATAATCTAAAATGTTGCAGTAAAGTTATATATGCCTTAAGCTTTGCTTTAGTGATCAGCAAATATATCTATATCTAACAAAATATGTCGCTTTTTAACATATAGTAGATTTCTAGTCACATTATATTTTGTTCTTTATAAAAAATACATTTTTTTTCCTCTCAATTAGTTTTTCAATATTTGAGCAGTTTTACGTTTACAATAATAATCAGTGTGATATTAAAGCCTATGATTTCCTATAAAAAATTACATTAAAAGGGCTGTGTTTCTGAATTTGTTAAGAAACACAGCACAGACTTGATATACTAAAATCTTGATGTAATATAAATTTTATAGATAGTTAGAAAATGATGTTGTAAAATACCATCTTGTTTATAAATGTAAGGTAGGTTATACAAACATTAAACTGTGTATGTCTTTAGTTGTTTTGTTTTATTTGCATGTTTCATCAATAAGTAAGCAAGTGTAAAGGAATCATTGCATGTTATCTTGCCAATTTAATATATAAGATCTATATTTCTCTGATATGAACTTGGAATTTTTTATCAATTATAAATCCAATTAAAGCTGATTTATGTTGAATTTTTATAGTAGCTTTCAATTGTAACATAATCAATCTTTATATACTGTTCAATGATAAGTTTACCTGAAACATTTCATTTTCTGGTGATGTTTCTCTTTGTATGTAGATTAGTCTGAATTAAAGACCATTCATACATAAAGAGTTTGAAGGTCATGAATTGCTAAAGTTGTTCTATTTTTCATGTCATAATGAAATGCTGAATTGAGAATATTTCTGTCTCTAAAGGTGGTATTATATAGCTATGTTTGAATTGAATTGTTTGTTATCATAAATCAACAGTCTTGTTAGCTCACATCATCAAATGAATGGTCATGTTACCTCACATTGCCTAGGTATGACCAAAATGACTATTAAGATTGACATAAAAAAACAATAGCCTTGTTCAAATCACTGCCCTTGTTGTCTCAGATCAATGATCTTGTTACCTCAAATCACTGCCCTTGTTGTCTCAGATCAATGATCTTGTTACCTCAAATCACTGCCCTTGTTGCCTCAGATCGATAGTCTTGTAAATTCAAATAAAAAACTTATCTCTAAACAGTGGCCTTGTTTCCACAAATCAGTGGCTCTTTTTATGCCCCCCGAAAAATTTCGGGGGAGCTTATAGTCGCCGCCTTGTCCGTCTGTCCGTCCGTCTGTCAGCACTTACAGGACAGTAATTATGTGGCTAGAGGGACAATAGGTAACTGTTCTTTCTCTTTGATGTCATTCATTCCGTAATGCTTTTATGTGGCTATTTTCTTTTGTGTGGCTAAAAAGAACAATAGAGAGAACAATGGAGTAGCCACATAATTACTGTCCTGTGAGAACGTCCATTGTCTTGTCTGGAGCATAACTTGAAAACCCTTGGAGATAATTTGTTTAAACTTCATACAGTGGTAGAGGGCATTGACGGGTTGTGCATTGTCAAAGAACCATAACTCTTTTTTGTCTGGTTTTTGAATTTTCTCCCCTTATAGAAAAATCTTGTCCGGGACATAACTCTAAAACTATAAGTGATATCAACATGAAACTTTGTAGGTGAATGGAGCTCAATAGGTAGATGTGCAGTGCATAAGAACAATAACTCTTTTTGCCTAATTTTGGAGTTTTTGCCCTTTGTTAATTGTAACACTTTGAACTTTGTCCGAAACATAACTTTAAAACTATAAGAGATATCAAGATGAGACATTGTAGGTAGATAGATCTCATTGAGTAGAAGTGCAGTGCAAAGAACAGTAACTCTGCCTTGCTTAATTTTGGAATTATTGCACTTTGAACTTTTTCCAGGGACATAACTATGAAACTACAAGAGGTGTACTTTCCTGTGTCCAAAACCTATTCGGGGAGCATTACCCGGCTCAAACTCGGCTCTTGTTATCTCTCTTTTTATCTGTTAATGACTTTGTTAACTCAAATCAATGGCCTTGATATCTAATGTTTGTGGCCTTATTACCTCTAATCAATTGCCTTTTAACTCAAATAAAAGGCTTTGTTACTTCAGTATTATTGCCTTGTTATCTTAGAGCCATGATTTTGTTAACTCAAACCAATACCCTTGTTATCTCAAACCATGTCATCTCAAATCAAGCAGTCTTGTTACCTCATGACATTGTTACCTCAAAATCTATTATCATTGACTTTGTTATCTCATATCAATGGTGTTGACTTATAAGTTTAATTGTATTGATCAGGTTCTTTCATAGATTTGGTGAAATATAGCAGCCACTATGTGCTGCTTGAACCACTAGTATTTGGTACACCCATGCACACTATATACTGTTAGTTGCTTTCTTTGGATATTTTTATTTTTGAAATCCCTAAGAACAACCATTCACTGATATAAATTTTAAGTAGTGAAGGTCAGTTGCAGCAAATTAAGTATAATTGTTAAATTTTTATTTTATAACAGGAACCATCGCCACTTCTAGTCAAAGCATCGGAGGAGAGCCTGGCATATGATGGAGACGAGTCACGTGACACGTTCACGACCGACACCCAGCCAGATATATTGAATGAATCCCTGGATGAATATGGCATGCCAATCCCTGCTGTTATTAAAACACCAGTACACACAGTAAAGAAGGTATTTCAACACCATGGCAATCTTGGTGTCTTCATGTATATTTGTTGACTTTATTTATACATGAACATGTTTTACATAATCTGATGTTCATTATATTTTTATAAATCAAAACTTTTTTCACTCTCTCTGTCTATTCACTGTAAACACTGGCTTTATATACATAATGTAAAAACTTGCATCAACAGAAAACTCAGTCCTGTTCTCATGTTATAAAGTCCATTTTTTGAAGAGAAAAAAAAGTAAAGGCTATGGTCTTGTGCCATGGTGCTTTTAACATCAGTTTATTTCGATAATGTGAACAATTTCTTAAATGTCTTGTTCCTTTGCATGTCTATGTACCATGATGACTTGTGTCTTTTGTTAGGAGCAGATAAGTTTGCCATGTTCTTGTACATAATTAATCTCTCTTTACAACCTTGCTTTACTATCAAGCATGGAGAAAACGAATGGTGCAGTTTTGATGACAGATCTTGTTATTCTTGTATTACATGTACTGTACTTTATAGAAATAATTATAACTGTATCTGGATGACTTATTATACTCCCACCACAAAATGTGGGGGGGGCTATAATGGATTCGCTTTGTCGCGTCGGTCGGTCCGTCCGTCGGTCGGTCCGTCCGTCCGTCGGTCGGTCCGTCCGTCTCCATTTTCGTGTCCGCTCTATAACTCCTATACCAATTGAAGGATTTTCTTCAAACTTGGCTCAAATGTTCACCTCAACAAGGGGATGTGCAGAACCCATATTGCCCATGTGTCAGTTCAAGGTCAAGGTCACAATTGAAGGTCAAATATCAAACACTATCAAATATTACACAGTATGTCGTGTCCGCTCTGTAAGTCCTACACTACTTGAAAGATTTTCTTCAAACTTGGCTCAAATGTTCACCTCAACCAGGGGATGTGCAGAACCCATGTGGCCCATGTGTTAGCTCAAGGTCAAGGTCACAATTGAAGGTCAAATATCAAACAATTAAATATTACACAGTATGTCGTGTCCGCTATGTAAGTCCTACACTACTTGAAAGATTTTCTTCAAACTTGGCTCAAATGTTCACCTCAACAAGGGGATGTGCAGACCCATGTTGCCCATGTGTCAGCTCAAGGTCAAGGTCACAATTGAAGGTCAAATATCAAACAATCAAATATTACGCAGTATGTTGTGTCCGCTCTGTAAGTCCTACACTAATTGAAAGATATTCTTTAAACTTGGCTCAAATATTCACCTCAACAAGGGGATGTGCAGAATCCATGTTGCCCATGTGTCAGCTCAAGGTCAAGGTCACAATTGAAGGTCAAAAATCAAACAATTAAATATTACACAGTATGTCGTGTCCGCTCTGTAAGTCCTACACTACTTGAAAGATTTTCTTCAAACTTGGCTCAAATGTTCACCTCAACCAGGGGATGTGCAGAACCCATGTGGCCCATGTGTCAGCTCAAGGTCAAGGTCACAATTGAAGGCCAAATATCAAACAATTAAATATTACACAGTATGTCATGTCCGCACTGTAAGTCCTACACTACTTGAAAGATTTTCTTCAAACTTGGCTCAAATGTTCACCTCAACAAGGGGATGTGCAGAACCCATGTTGCCCATGTGTCAGCTCAAGGTCAAGGTCACAATTGAAGGTCAAATATCAAACAATCAAATATTACACAGTATGTTGTGTATGCTCTGTAAGTGCTACACTAATTGAAAGATTTTCTTCAAACTTGGCTCAAATGTTCACCTCAACAAGGGGGTGTGCAGAAACCATGTTGCCCATGTGTCAGCTCAAGGTCAAGATCACAATTGAAGGTCAAATATCAAACAATCAAATATTACACAGTATGTCATGTCCGCTCTGTAAGTCCTACACTAGTTGAAAGATTTTCTTCAATCTTGGCTCAAATGTTCATCTCAACCAGGGGATGTGCAGAACTTATGTCACTCTTTTGCTGGCTTAAGGTCAAGGTCACACTTTTAGGTCAAAAATTGATTTAGAAAATATTCTTAAATTTTAACATTTATTTGAATATTTCTAAATCTAGAAAAGGTATTTGCTTGAAACTTAATATATTTTTGAAGGGTCACAATTCCAATATGCTGTTCGTTCAAGTTTCATAACTCTGTATTGCATTTTACCAAAGTTATGCCCCTTTTTAAGTCTTCAAATTTACATACAATCAAATATTAGACAATATGTTGTGTCCGCTCTATAAATCCTATACTCATGGAAGAATTTTCTTCAAACTTTACTCAAATTTTCACCTCAACAAGGTTATGTGCAGAATCCAGAATCCATGTCACCTTTGTGCCGGCTAAAGGTCAAGGTCACACTTGAAAGTCAAAAATTGACTTAGAAAAAGTTCTTAAATTTTAACATGTACTTGAATAATTCTGAAACTAGCACAGGCATTTGCTTGAAACTTAAAAGATATATGAGGTGTGCAGGTCAGGTTTCATTACTCTGTATTGCATTTTGACAAAGTTATGCCCCTTTTTAGTCTTCAAATTTACATACAACCAATACTAGACAATATATTGTGTCTACTCTATAAATTCTATACTAATGGAAGGATTTTCTTCAAACTTTACTCAAATGTTCAACCAAACTGGGTGATGTGCAAAACCCATGTTACCCTTGTGCCAGATTAAGGTCAAGGCCACACTTAAAGGTCAAAAATTGACTTATAAGTAAAATGTTTAATACATTGGGAAAATGAAAGGTTATTTGTAACTGTTTAGAACATGATTTGATAATATATATTTATACTATTACCTGTACAATTAGTCTTTTTTTCACCAGAGATAATTCCTTTTTATGTATTTGTGCCACATAAGTTATTCCCTTAACCACCTTTCCTAGTGGTCTTCTGTCAAGGACATTGGTGGGGGTATGAATCGCATTTAGCGATAGTTCTAGTTCAAACTATTATTAGCCATTTGAAGAAATTAAACTGAGTTTTCTGTTGTTGTATATGAACTGAGGGAATTCACATATATATTAGATTCAAGTTATAGTTTTATTTTTTTCAACGGGGCATGTCAAACAAGATGTTCAAATATTTTACAATTTAGTTATGAAGCTGTTTGACATGGTCCTACTTTCATAGTGAGTTCCAATTTAAACTTTTCTATAAAAGTTACTACAGTTTATACAGTAAACATTCTCCAATTTTTAAATTATACACCCTTTATACAACTGGCTTTAAAAAAACAACATAGTCTTGTTTAGACATAGTTGAAGAATGTTTTTCCGAGGATTTGGTTAACCAGGTTTTTCAGTCATTTACTTTTCTATATCTTGGCTATAAATATACTGCTTTAATCTCAGACAAAGAAAGCTTTCTAATTAATATGCATGTAATCTTTATGTGAAAGCTCATATTGGAACTTTCTAGTATTGGACAGATATCACTTCGTTGTTTTTCTATTATACATGTATGTGGGTGTGTTTTGGTAATATAGAAGTAGCGATGTTTTTTTGTTCATCATGAATTATTTAATTTCAAGGTTGAGGGAATAACGCCATCAGAAGGCGGCAGCAAGAAAAAGGTGAATTCAAAAAACTTTTTATCAAACAAAAAATGTTTTATTGTCCAAAGTGTTGAGAGAATGTCATCTTTTATTTTTCATACTGTACCAGCATGTGATGTTTTAATGCATCCCAATTATAGTCTTTTATTTGGTTTTGGCATTGAAACTAACAGGTTATTGACTGAAGAATGAAGATAACGCTTAAAGCAAGAAAACAACTGGGAGGTGTAAAAATAACTTGAATATGATGGAAAAGAAATAAATTCTAAGCTCATTTTACCCCTGCAGACATCAGCATGGTATTGTTACATACCTTTCATATATGTTACAATAGTCTGTGATTACATTGATATTGATTTGTTATTGTCTGAAACAGTTTTATAGGAAAGCTGTCCATTAGGTGAATGATTGTTTGGGACAACTAACGGAATAGTAGATTTCCAAACAATATAAAAAATAAAAAACTTATTTTGGTATAATTATGAATGAAAGGAAAACATTATATTTGGGCAAAAAGAATTGCATATTATCTGGGATGGAAACACTTAGCTTTTAGTGCTAAAGCAGGGAAAACAGATAAACAAGTTTTTATTAGGCATTCTATGTGCTTTGTAGTTTATTTTTAGCATGAATTGTATAGGAAAATAGACCTATATAATTATAGAAAAAATATTTTTTGTTTTATTAGGCTTTGTTTTTAACCTTGTTTTGATTTTTTGAAATAAACCCAACATGTGATGTCCTCTTTCTTTTGACCCCAAACTGATCAATAAATCAGATGGTACATGTATATTGTTTTTGTCCTTTCTGTCTGTCTGTCATGCCAGTTTGTAGACAACAATATATGTGGGTAATCACTGTTTTAAGCTAGTACATTCATTTACAGAATTAAACATGATATATCAGTGATTGACAACTTTATTCTGACATGATCATAACATGGGTTTGATCTATAAATTTCTTTAATCAAATTTCTAAGGGGCCAGAAAATGCTAGCAAAACCTATGATTTATTAAGTGATTTAGAACTGGGGCAAGACTGAATTACAAATGTACCAACACATGTTGTTTAATTAGAGTTTAATGGTTTTTGTGTTCTTTACTCAACTTGTATATGCTGGCCTTGGTTTTTGTATCAGGGGGAAATTACTTGTAATTATGCTGGGAATATTTTGTAAAATTAAAGTTATTGCTATTTTCTTTCTATTTGTTTATTTGTTTACACTTTCCTCTTTATTGGAATATGGGCATTGACATAATTTAAGGTGTTAAGAGAGACATGGGTTAAAAATATCTCAACTATTGCTCTAAATGTTTTTCTTAAGATAACATAAACCTCTAATATTGTTACATAGACTGCATGGTTACTTAGTTATGATGTAACATTCATTGTCGAAGTATAGAATGTATTTTATAAAAGGTTTATTTTAAGCCTTTCCCCCTGATACAATTATTTCTTTATTTTTTGATATGCACCTTACTAATAACTGATATTTACCAGATTTTTGTTAATACCTTTTTTTGGAAGCAGATATACAACTTGGTAAGATAGTTCATGTGTATGTATATCCCTTTATATGAAATAATTGTATTTATCTTTCAAGAAAGAAATTTATTATTTGAATAGTTAAATTTGATTATTACAGTAATATCCCTTGTTAAGACCACCCCAGAATGGAGACCATCCAAATTTTATTATTTAAAAATACAAAAAAAAAACAACAACAACAAAAGAACAGAATTGTCTGTTCTTTATTTCAATGAATCCACAATTAAGACCACGCTGTTAATTCTCTGTTAAGACTTCCATTTTCAGTCTCATTTCTTAGTTAAATTCCTGATTTGACTCTGCTATGAAGACCACTGATTATCCAATCGACCACAATAATGCAAAGGTTTGTTGATGTTGTAAGACGTGGAACTTGAAGAAACAAGAAGTAAAAATGTTATCATTGGCATGTTATATTAAATATACAATGATCATTAATTTAAGAGTAGTAAAATGTTTCTTTTTACACATTTACTTCTTTTTTTATTTGATTGGTATATCATTTGATATGTAGACAATATGAATGGAGAAGTTGATCATTACATTCAAAATTTGTCAAGAAATTATGTTCTGTCTTCATCAGATTAAATATATTCACATCTTTAACTATATAATTGTTTAAATATTCATATTGTTTGAACAGGTAGATACAAAATAACAATATCCATCTATAGGACCTAATGGCAATTAACGATTTTGATTTAGACATGTTGGTGGTCTTAATAGAGAGGTTTTACTGTATTTGAATAGTTAACTTTGAATATTAAATTGTATTTGAATAGTTATATTTGAGTATTTAAGTTTGATAAAACTGTTCAGTTAAAGGTATTTATCTCTAAAGTAAACATAAACATAATTTTTCTATTAAGTAAGATTATTATAACAAGTATATTTTGTTTTACTTTGTGATATATAAAGTTGAATTAAACAAAGATTGATGGAAACCAGGCTCTACACTGTTGGCAACTCAATTTTGTACTATAAGGAATGTTCCAAGTTCAAAACTGGACAAACCTTTTACACTAATTAAACAGATTAAGGGTTACATGTATTAGTCCGGATTTTATTTAATGAACTGATCATTAACAGTTTTGGAGATTTCAAGATAAAAATTTAAAGTTAGTCACCAACATCTATGCAGTCTGACATTAGGTTGTATATTGGTGGTAAAGGCTGATCAATCATGTTTCCTGCAGGTTATGTGTGATCTATGCTTGTCACATTTGAGCCACGCCATGACAAAACCATTATAGTGCGTTTGCGACCAGCATGGATCCAGACCAGCCTGCGAATCCGCCCAGTCTGATCAGGATCCATGCTGTTCGCTATCAGTTTCTCTACTTGTAATAGAGTTTGTAAGTGAACAGCATGGATCCTGATCAGACTGTGTAGATACGCAGGCTGATCTTGATCCATGCTGGTCGCAAACGCACTAAGTTTGTTTTGTTATGGCACAGTTCATTTGTTTTCTCTTTCTCATCTCTCCTTTAAAATTTAATTATATAGTACTAAATTCAGTAGAAATTAACTCACTGTAAACACTTTATATTTCTTTGACTTATGCTCTTTATTAGTAACAATTGGTGAGACATGTTTATTTTTTCAGGTATAAAGTTTTGTGAAGGTAACATTAATAAAATAAAGATTGGTATTGTCTAGTTTTAAATATTAAGTGATTGGTACTTGCATTTATGTGCTAGACCAACATAGAAGAGCTTTTAGAAAGTTTTAATTAAAAGGTTTATGCCTCCCGATTAATGGGAAAAAATCCAAACTGAAGGAAATTTGTTTATTTATTTGCACAAATAAAACTTTCATTGTGTATTTTTTTTTAGAAATTTATCATTAGATGTTACTTAATAAAATGAAAATGGGTTTTTTCCTTACTTGTTCGGAGGCCTGTCATTTTAAAATAGTCATAATCATATTCTAAAACAGAAGTTTAAAACTAGACTTTAGTACAATCAAATTCAGAAGATATTCAAAGGGTAACAGTAGCAGATGATGGTGGACTAAGTATTCAATGCTGAATGTATTTATTTTAGGGGAAAGGTATGAATTGGCGAGACAAAAACAAAGATAAGCGAACACAAATCAGTGGATATATAGTGTTCTCTGGAGAATTTCGTAAAATTGTACAACAAGAAAACCCAGAGTGCAATTTTGGTGAAATTAGTCGTCTTGTTGGTGGGAAGGTAAAGTATTGGCTGTTGTCCTGGTCATGTGATATTGTCGTCATAGTAACATGTCATAGCAACCAAGCTATTTTTTCACCATTATAGTGGGCATGAAGCATGATTTATTTATTTTGTTTGCTTTTTCCATCGGGGTCAAACACCACTTGACTGATTTTTCTATGAGATCTAAAGCTTTTTAACCCAATGAAACAGATTTTTTTTATTGATGATTTTGTTAAAACTTGAATTATATGATGTATTTGTTTTGTTAAAATAAAAAAAAGAAAAGACAAAAAACAAATACCGAAAAAGAAACCTCCCAAGTTATAGGAGAAAAGTCCTCATTTTGAAACAGTATATTTTTATTTCAAGTTACAGATATTTTACACATATTTCAAAGAAAAATCAGTCAATTTTTCTGTGGAAAGTTTGATAGAAATCTTTTCAGCAGACAGAAGATTCTTTTGGAGGTCTCTTGGATTCCACTTTATAGAGGGCGAAAAATAGCTGTGTTTGACCCTTAACCTATTTTTATTTTGCATGTTGGTTTACTCATTTTATAGGTCCGAGCTAAACGATATCCCAGCGGCTTTGTGTTGTTTTCGGGGGATTTTAGGAGGAAATTGACAGAAGAAGGCAAAAATCATTACACATTTGGAGAGATAAGTCGGATGGTAGGAATTCAGGTAAAGGAATCATTACTATCCAGGACCATAAATCTCAATTCAAGTGCTCTTAGAAATACTGCTCTTACTTGCTTATGGTTGAAGAAAAAAGGTCATGAAAAGCTTCTGTAAGATTTTGAATCATGCAGAGAATTGGAATTACTTGCTAGCTTTTGAAATTTTAAAAAGAATGGGCTTAATTAGATGTTTTTCCTTTAAGAAGGTAAGTGCTTGGAATCGTTTATGCACAATAAAAGTATGGTACTTTATTATAAGCTCTATTGACACATGGACGCAAATACTGGGTCTTGATAAATGCAAAATTCTAGTGTGCATGTACTCATTGATTCACAACACCTATAAATATTGGTTGCTTTGATACACTGCCTTTGTTTCATATTTCTATCATATTTGGGTTTGATGTATTGGAGAAAAAAATCTACAACTCTTGGTTTCTTTGTTAAAACATACATTACAGAAATAATAATAGCCATATAAAGTTTAATAGATTATTTAAGTGGAGTGTAAATTGTTAAGGTGTGTACATAATAGGGATTATCCAGAATCTCGTATTCGATAATCCTTCTTAAACACATCATCTAGCGGGTGGGTAGGTGCAGGGACTGACACCAGGTTGTAAACCTGGGTCACTGACTTGCCAGTGTAACAAGGCAGTTAGTAGTCTCCCCCGGGACTGGATAAAATTTATGGGTTTTGCCCGTCTGCAGCCAAAATTTCCGCCACAAGGTTATGAAGTACCTTAATAAAAGTATAATTGTCAAATTATCATGTTGTTTATCTGTTATTAGTTCTGGTCGCACACATAAGTGACTATGTGATGCCAAGTGTAAAATCAGTTATTGTAAACAGAGAGTAATATTCAAGTTCTCTTCAGAAGAGAAATAAAGATTGTGATAGCAGGGTGTCCGTAGTATTATAAAGGATGTATGTGATTTAATATGTTTGAACTTCCCTGCTCAAATGTTAGCTGAAGAACAGTAGTCCAGAATGGTTGATATCATAAAAGTATTGATCACCAAACTGTTTTAATATTTGACTGAATTGAAATTGTTAATTTGGTATATTTTCAAAGTTGTCTGATTACCCTTTTCATACAAACAAGCCCTAAAAAAGAGGACACAAAAAACAGGTTGTTTTCCTACTTTCTGTATTTTATTCCTTTTAAAAGCATGAAAATGATCATAAGAATATGGGGAAAATTACCTTTTTATTTTATTCTTGTATTTTTTATATAAACAATAGCTGTCTGAATCTGTAATTTACTCATGATGTTTGATTATGTTACAATGTTTTTGATTGGTTGGCTAGTATATGGTAATGCCATTAACGATTGGTTTTTAAAAATAATCATTAAAATTAAGCCTCATGCTTCATGAAATAGTTAGTTTTGATCAAGATCACCAGGTTAATGTCACTTCTCAAGTTCTTATAGACTTTCAGTCGTAACACGGGGGATCAGCAGAGATATAATGACAGTTTCTTTACATTTGTTGCAATAGATATTTCACTTACTGGATATTTACATTATACTATTTATTACAGTTTTATACTTTGGCTTTCATCTATACGAGTATATAAACAATTATATTGATGTATACTTTATGTTTTCCTATGGTGTACTGTCTGGTTGTTGTAATGATGTTGTGGTGTCTATTTGTTCTTATGGAATATTATCTCCCCTTATCCTCTAATATACATGTTTAACATTGGTAGCTGTAAAACATGTCACTGTCTCTTTCCCCACATTCATTACTCTTCTTTCTTATTGTAAAATGCTGTATTATTATTAAATTAATACAAAAACGTATGAAAATAATTGTAATGGTTACAAAATTTCAAGGTTAGATAAGATATCATAAGATATTCATTTTCATTCTGAAGTGACATATAAACATAAAAAAAAGAATTTGTTACATTTTTGTAAGAAAAAATATCTTAAGTGGTCAATTTACATTGTTGAAGTGGTCAATTGAAATGTTCTTTTTTTTCCAATGAAATTTATATTGTGAACTTTTTTATACTTTTATTTTATATTTGTAATATGACATGTCTTTAATTTACAAGACAACTTTAATATTAGCATCTTGCCTTTGATATTGTTTAAATGTTTAGTTAAGCTTATTAGCTCAGTGCAGTATATCAGACATATTAAAGCATGATAACTTGTGTTGTGTCAACATAGTTCCACTGAATGAAGTCCTTACCATGTACTACATAATTTATATTGTCATAGATTAGATATTTTTACAGCATTATATAATACTTGTTGCTTTATTACAATAAATGCTTCAAAATTAAACATTTATTTATTTAGCAATTTATTTTTATAGTCTTAATTTGACATTAAAAAAAATTTATTTTTCAAAATAAAGATGTGTTAAGATTAGAACATTGAAAAAGTTACATTTTTTCCCTAAACGAAATGTAAATCAAATTGTTCAATTTATTTGAGACTTCAGAATTAATTTATTAGAAACAACTTAGACGCCTGTTAAAGCTACTTACTATATGAATGTATCAAATGAGATTTCTTTACAAAATTGAGCTTACATTAGTAGAAATGAACTTAAGAATGTAATGAACTTCTTTGACTTAAGGGCATCTGTGGCCAAGTCATTAAGGTTTTTGACTTTAAACCACTTGCCCCTCACCAATGTTGGTTGGAAATCTGGCCAGGGACTTTGGATGTTTTCATGTGAGGAAGCTATCCATCTAGAAAACAGAACATCAGTGGTTCAACTCAGGTACCAATCCTGCCTGAAATAATGCACGCAACAACACTTGAAGTCTTCTCTAACCAGTAAAACTGGAAAGTCACTGAAAGTGGCTGATGTGACTGTTAAGCGTGTAGTAATATTGTTAATTGGTAATATTGTTTTTTTAGAATAACAGTTTGCTAACATTTAGGGTTATATTATATATGAGAGTATACAGCTCACTATCTGATGATTCAGCTGTATTATTTTAGTGGAGAAACCTGGACAAGGAAGATAAAGATAAGTACGAGGAGAAGGCTCGCAGGATAGCTGAAGAACAACAAGCCAAACAGGCCGATGCCGAGAGAGCATTTAACATGACACTTCAACAACAACAGCCACAACAACAACAACATGCTACAGCAAGTGATAGTCCAAGACCTAGTACACCTGCACAACAAGGTTTGTATTGTAAATTTATGTAGTAGTCTCAGTATCTCACGTCTAGTTTATTTGTTATAGCAAAGCGGGTTGATTTATAAACTCTTTACCTGCTCAATTTGTGTAATGGATTTACCCCTGCTCTGAATATGAAATAGTTTATTCAAAGAGTAAGGGATTTCATTATCATTTAAAAAAAACTACAGCTAGCAACATAATAGAGCCTGGTCAGATTGGACAGACATGCAGGCTGGCCTGGCTCTATACTGGTAGCAAAGGATAATCACCATTTGGTTCATCAGCAGGTTAAGAGTGATGATAAAAACAGCAAGCCTTCAGTTGTTTAATATAAGGCCCTAACATTATGACTATAGGTTTGTTCCTAGGATACACATGTAGCCAAGACATACTAATGCCAAGCCTCTTGCACCTATTAAACAACATACAAGCACTACCTTTTGCTATCACAGATAATGTTCATATTAAACAAATTTCCTGTGTCCAGAACCTTCTCGGGGAGCATCACCCGGTTCAACCGGTTCTTGTTGTTAGATTGTTAGGAATAATCCTTTGGAACCAAGAGTTATTAAGTGTGACTAGTGATTTGATGTTGTGTTGTGAAAGAATGTCAATATATATAAATAAAAGGTTAAATCTATTATTTTCTAACAATAGACACTGTAATAACCAGTGGAACACTGTGTAATAACTAATAAATCGCTGTGAAATAACCAATTAAACTTAAAACTGTATGCAATAACAAATTGATGTATATTGACTTTAAACTTGATCATGTGTTCAATAACCAATGAATTGTGTGCTGTGAAAAATTATTAATTAATGCATTAGGTCACTAATAAATGAATTGCTACGCAATAAACGTTGCAGTGTGTCAATCAATGAATCATTGTGCAATAATTAGTGATTTACTGTGTTACAGTACATCAAAGATTTTTTGGCATATAATGATAAGCACCTGATTGTTTGTCCATCCGTAAGCAACGCTGTGTCTGCCTGCATCATTTAAACGCATGTAAGACATTGAAACTACTTGGGTAGAAATTTTAACTATAATGATACAATGTACAAAGTGCAGATTTTAACTTCCTCAGATCAAGGTCAAGGTCACACTTTTCTCTGTAGTAATAAGTTAATGTGCACAGCCATATAATTTTGTTAGCTTTCAACACTTAAGACATGTATACTCTAGCATTTAGGAAAAGTGTTTTGTCTGTTGTAATTAGTGTCTTATTTAGAGCACCAATTGTATTGGCCATTGCTTTGAATTGAGCTTTTGGTATAGATTGTTTCACTATAATATATTTTATTATACAGTTCATGTTATGCATAACTTGTTTACATTTTGGTTTGAATGATGCTTGTCCTTGAAATAAAGTAACAAACTTTTGATGTGAAATTATTACATTTCAATTTAAAACAATGTCTGACAAAAATAAGAAGTTGGCAAACCTCAAACAGCAGTACAAACCCTTTCATATTCAAATAAATTCTTAATTAAATTCTTCTTATATGAATAAAGAAGGAAGTAAATATAAACTTTTATGTATAAACCTTTTGCCATGATATGAACAGCATTGACATAATATTGCCATAGTTATATATGGACAGCATTGACATGATGTTAGTTCATAATACTAGTCTTAGACAACAAAACTGCTGAACAAAATTGCTAAAACTTGTTTAATTTGTGGGTAAATACTATTTTTGGTCATACTTAGATTCAAGACAATAATGTGACATGTTGGTTACTCTCCTCCATTAGTATTCATTGAGAGAAGCTTGTGGATATTTGCAAAGAACTGTTATCATTAGTTGGAAAAAAAGTAGGACTACTGGAACGTTAGTAAAATATTGTTGAAAAAAGGATCAAAAGTTGAATTGATTGTTATAGAAAAGAGTTTCTATCCAACTATAGAGGACTTTAAAAATGTGGAAATGATTCTTAAAATGTTGAGTTAGTAATTGTTTTGCATAACACCAAAAATAAAAAGCATTATGATAACTGCATTGTTGTAATAAGTAGATGTGTATTGTCATGTAACACAATGTATATATTACAAGTGAGTGTTGTTTTATGAATCAAGCATGACAGTGTTTTACTTTTCTTTATTTTAACTTTAACATATTGTAATCTCTAATCTGTATTTAATGTTATAACATTAGGATACCCAGGGTATTATCCGGGCTATAATGGTCCGCCTCAGGGGTATTCCCCCACCCCAGGGCCATATGGAGGATCTTATGCCCCATCTCCTGGGGGCCAGTTTGCTCCCATGCATTCCCAGCACCCAGGTAACAAAACCTTGCTGCAGAGAGGAAGGCAAAGACTTACCAAAGCATCTGATTGGTTGAAATTTTTAAAAAAAAACTGGCCGACCATTCACATCTTGTTTTACATTAATATTTGACCATGGGTGATATTGTAAGAAGAGTTTCAGTTGCTTTGTTAAGTCTGTTGCCGGTACATTTAATATAATGCATGCAAACCTAACATTATATTAGCACATATTACATGGGTGACATTATATATATACAGGATATTAACATATTGTAATTTTTGGTTCTTGTACTAACAATTTTATTAATGCTTGCTTAATTTAACATTTGACATTATAATTCATTTGGTAATTATAAATGTTTTGAAATATAACCAAAACAAAATCAACAGTTTTAGAAGGTTTTCAGCTTTATCAATTAACCTTATTTAAAGGTTCTAAAATTTTGACTAACAACTTGAGATTCCTGCAGAGTGACAAAAGTAGAAAACATTATTGATAATGAGTTAAATGAAAAAATTTAGAGGCAAACATATTAAAAGACATCAATCATGCATGTTTAAAATCTGTGATAATAGATTTTCCTGGAATATATAGCTTTCCAAATTTACCCATCAATCAGTTATAGGATGTAGTCTCGGAGAAATTATTACA